GAAGCAGATTGTGGTTTTGATTTATTTAATGTCAGGGCTAGCCTGACTCTGCCACCTCTGGTAGTTCCTCCCCTGGAAGGGGTAGTTGCCTTTCTAGGCATTTTACTTATCCTGTAAATATTCACGGGTAAGGTAGTCAGGAAGAGAGTTTGAAGTGCCTTTGAGATACTCAATATCAAAATCAAAAACACTTAAAATTACTTGCCATATTGCAAAAATTTGTTTTGAGGCAAGGTTTTTTACATCCTTTTGTAAAATTTCTTTAGCAAACTTGCAGTCTACTCTGATAAGAAATTTTTGATTTAATAAATCAGATTGAAATTTTGAAACACATAGAACAAATGCCAAAACTTCTTTTTTAACAGTAGAATAATTCTGCTGTGCAGAATTCTAATGTTTAGAAGTATATGCAATGATATGCTTATGTGACCCAATCTTTTGCTTGAGGATGCCCCCGTAACCTATGTCCGAGGCATCAGTTTCAACAATTTTGAAGGCTTGAGGAATAGGAAGATATAAGCAGTTTATCTTCCTGACTCTATTTTTGATTTCTTTGACAACGTTGGTATGAACATCAGTCCAAGAGGGAGGATTTTTCTTAAGCCTATCATGTAAAGGTTTAATGATGTTATTTAAGTGGGGAATAAAATCTCCTACATAATTGAGACATCCTAAAAACCTTTGTAATTGGGTTTTATTAAGGATTCTGTCAGGAAATTTATCAGCAAACTCAATGGACCTGCTGCTAGGAATGATGGTACCTTGGTAGATATTATGACCAAGGAATCTAATATTGGTTTGGAAGAGACTAATTTTTTATTTAGAAACGGCAAGACCGTTTTGTTTAATAACATTGATGAAAACATTTATATGTTTGAAATGTTGATCAATGGATTGAGAAAAAATTAAGACATCATCAATATAGACAATGACGAATTTTGAATGAGGATTAAAAATATCATTCATAATTTTCTGAAACTCGGAGGGAGCATTTTTCAGACCAAAGGGCATAACATTCCATTCGTAATGCCCAAAGGGGACAGTAAAGGCAGTCTTGTACCTATCATTTTTACAAATTTGGATTTGCCAAAATCCTGATTTCATATCAAATTTTGAAAAGACCTTAGCAGAACTCAGCCTGTTAAGAAGATCTTTTTTATTGGGGATATGATGCCTAATCCACCGAAGGGCTTGATTAAGGGGTTTGTAATTAATGACAAGTCTGGGAGTACCTCTCTCGATCTCTGTTGGTTTATTAACATAAAAGGCGGAGCAAGACCAAGGACTTTTGCTCTTTCTAATAAGGCTTTTGTCTAAGAGATCTTTAATCTCTTTCTGACAATAATGAATAAGTTCTTCATTCATCTGAATAGGTCTGGCCTTAGTGGGAATCTGGCTATCCTTAAAACCTGATTCATAAGGAAGACTAACAATATGTTTTTGCCTATTTCAGAAGGCACTGGGTAGGTCAGAACATATGGAAGTTTGGATGTTTCCTAAAAGGGATTGGATTTTCTTCTGAAGCGAAGGATTTTGTAATTGTTTTTCAATGTTGGCAAAAGAAACTTCTTCTTTTAGAAAATTAATTTGATTAATTTTGTTTTGAATAGAATTAATATTTTTTGTAAATGGTTTGTTGGAAAATTTGAAGGTTATTTGTTTTCCTAAATGACTAGTGGAAATACCATCTTTCGAAATTTGAAGAGGGAAAAGGTCTTTTATAAAAGGTGTTCCTAGAATAACTTCATTTTTTAAATTTTTTACAAGAAGAAAGTTTGTTTCAATCTTAAGCCCTTGATTTTCAATTACAGCTTTAGAAAGCTTGTAATTAATTTTAAGCTTCGAACCACTAGCAGTGCTGAGTTTTTCAGAAGTTTTTTCAAAATACTTTGTAGGAATTAATTCTTCTAGAATACAGTTTGAATCAGCACCTGTATCAAAGAGGGCTAAGGTATCAAGAACAAAATCATCAATAACGATTCTGATGTTAATATAAAATTTTTGTATTTTGACCTTGTTGATCAAACACATAAAGGTTTCTTCTAGATTATCATAATCAACCTTCACAGAATCATTATTTTCAGGAAGTTTTACTTTCTCAATATTAGATTCATCATCATCTAACTGAGAAAGAATAACTTGGTGAATTTGTTGTTGATCTTTGATCTCTCTGATCTCTTTTTTGAGATTATTTATCTCAATCTGGAGATCTTGAATAGTGGTTGGTTTAATGCTAGAATTTTTTTCTAGTCTTTTGAAAATATTTGTAATGTTGAATTTATTTGAAGTAAAATATTCTTTAGGTTTAGGTTTATTTTCTAAAACCTCTTTAAATTTATTTAAAAATTCTTTTCTATCTTGGGGATTCGAAATGGAACTTATTGCTTCAAAAAGAAGATCTTGTTCTTTTGTCAAAACATTGATTTCTGGAGTATCATCACTATCAGAAGAGGAAACTTGGTCATCATTTTGAATTTGGTTGATATCTTCCTCAGATTCTTTAACAGAATCTTCATCAGAGGTATCAGTAAGGAGATTGTTAATCTGGTCTTCTATAAAAGGCTCTAGATTAAGGCTACTAATCTTCTTTTTCAACCTGCAGTATTTGCTAATATGGTCAGGTTTACCACAATTGTAACAGATTACGCCTGTTCTGAATTTTTTGGGAATGTTGGTGGGGATGACATTTTCCCCTTGTTTCTTAGGATTGGGTTTTCTATTGTACCTGCGTTTGTGGGGCTTTTTGTAAGGTTCGACAGCCTCTTTCTTAGGGGCATGTTTCTTCTTTTTGGGGGAGCAGGATGGAAGACCAAACTGCTCGCAGAATGATCCTAATTCTTTCTTGCTCAAGGCTTTTTCTTTGGCAAGCTGTTTCTGGAGTTTATCCTTTTGGCAGACTTTAATACCGCTATGTATAATGATAGCAGTAAGCTGACCATAATCATAACTATCATAATTGATTTCTCCAGTAAGAGAACGACTTCAGAGTTTACTTCTAATAAGATCTCCGAAAGCTTTGGGAAGCCCATCTAGATATTTTTCTTTCCAGTAGGCTTGGTTACAATCTTCTCTGGTTAGGACTCTAGACATAAAGGTATCTTTATACCACTTAAAATGTTCTAAGGAATCACATTTGAGGTTTGAAAGAAGCTCTCCTGATCTTTCCCTCCAAAGAGAAGGATCACCAAGAAAATGTTGGGATATTGTGTATAACAACGTATACACAGCATCAGGGAGATGCTCATTGTCACTGACAATGGTTTTCTCCTTATCATCAATTTTGACTGCAGAGAGAATATTATTTCTGTCAGCTTCAGTGAGATAATTGTCCCACCAACCTTTGAGTTGGCCAGTAAAACCAGCAACAAGAATATAAACAATGGTGTCTTCTGGCATATTTTGATTAGTAAAATAGCCCATGGCGACAACCGACATATTTTGGAGTTTGGCAATGATATTATATTCAGATAATCCATCAATATTCCAAATATAAATATCATTAGAATTGAAACTTTGAATAAAATCTTGTTTTTCTTCTAAAATGAGGTCAGGAGCAGTAGCTCTATTATAATAAAGCTTGGAAGAATTTTTTCAATTGTTGATTGGATTGATAGCTAAAACAGAATCTGTTTCAGAATAATGTTCTGAATCAGTCTTGGAAATAACATTGACAGTTTTGGCAAGAGACCTAGTCCTGGGTTTAGCACTAGATTCCTCAGAGGGTTGAGGAGTGTCAGGAATGGTAGTGAGGAGGCTAGTGATTTTACTAAGCAACTCGTTTTGGTTTTCTTCGTTCACTTTGGTTTTTTCTTTTTGCCTAAGTTCTAAGATTTTCTGCTTAGCTTTGGCACTAATCTTAAAAGGTTTAAACAGAGGTTTTTCTAATTGAGGTTGAGAGGATGAAGAAGTTGCTTCTTCAATTTTAGGTTTGACAGGATTAACAGAGATTTTTCTCCTAAAACCTGAAGGTATTTATTGGTATAATTGGCCTGTTCCATGAGGCCTTGGATGTCATGAGGAGTGATAGACTCTTCAGGATTCTTTGACTTAAAAGGAGTAGCAGTAACAGGATTACCGCCTTTGTCTTTCAAATTAGGTAATTGGTATTGAGATGTGGGTGGTAGTTCACTTTGGACTATTTGTCCGTCTTTGATCTGCCAGGATATGACATTAGCAGAGGAGGTACTAATAACATCCTCTTGCCAGGGATAATCAATATTATTATGAATGGTATAAGCATGATACCAATCAAAGAATAGAATATTTTGTTTGATTTTTTCGAGAAATTGATAGAATTTCTCTTAGATATCTGACCTATCTTTTCCCCTATATTTTTGAAAGAACCACTCTCTTTGAGGTTTTCATTCCTCATAGTAGAAATCTTTCCTAAGGGTTTCCTTATCTATAATGAATTTATGAGATAACATCATAAGACTCATTAAGGGAAGAGTAGGTTGGAGATTGGATACTCTGATTTTCGTCTTCTTTTTCAGAAGTCTGATAAACATTTCTAGGAATCCTAGAAGAAGTATCTAAACCTTGAAGATTTAGAGAGGGGTCATGATTAACAGACCTAGGAATATCAGGTCTAATATAAGATCTAGTATGAGAGCGGTTCCTTTTGAACCGCTCTCTAAAATAGACTTATGAGAGCGGTTCCAAATTAACCGCTCTAAGAAGTCATATTTTGTACAAAAAAATTCAAAAATTAATTACTTTCGCCAGCCGTTTGGCAAAAATTTGATCAACGTGGCAAAAACACTCCAGATTGAGAAATTGTTTCAGATTTGCTATAAAATAATAAATTATTTTTTAATTTACAATATTATAATAAATTTGCCACCTGATTGCAAAGATCATTTTCCTTTTTCTTTAAATTCCTTTCGATTCGTGTCCCCATCGTAATCCCGATTGAAGCAGCTCATATTCTATTACATCACCTAATTATTTTCAATGTACATGCTCAATTTTAAATTAAGTAAAACATCGATTTATTTTCTACAGTAGACACAACTAATAATTTGGTCTATATGATATTATATAAGAGTAAATTTAGTTCACAACAATCAATCAACTTAGATTTTGAAATTGACACCCAAGGCAATAATTCAACTCTTAATATTATTGAATCAATCAATTTAATCCTTGATTAACTATCTGTCAATTTGGTCCATGCAAATCAAACAAACCATATTACTCAGAGACTAGATTTATTTATTCGTAATGTAATGAACTAAATTGATGGATGGTGTCAATTTTAGAAACTAGATTGATTTTTTATTCATTATTTTGAAGGACTAAATATATTGGCAGAGTCATACTTAAGGAGCAAGTTGATGTTTTATTTTTTCATCCTAAGCCAAATCCTTCTTATACTTTTGTTATTGCCAATCTAATTTTGAATCCTAATGATATCAAGGCATGATTTTCCTTGTAGCTCACGGGAGAAGAATGGTTTATAGTAATCTTCAACAGAAACTCTTCTGAACAATGCAGGCCTTTCAGGAGTGACAAGGCTTGGTGATGGACCTATAATTTTGTTCCATTGAGGTCGGTGAAATGTAGCAATGGAAATTCTTTCTTTCTCTGAGTTAATTGTTCCTCGATGCTCTATGCTCCGGTAGATTCCATTTGTTAATATCTGCAAAGCCATTTAAGAAAGGTAACAAAGTGTCTTCAAAATAAAATAGTTTGTTTTTCCTTTTCTAGCCATGAGTATACTCATACTATTTGTGACATTATGTGTCAAATTAATACTCATAGACGCACTCACTTGAGCTTGCCCGCTGGGTACATCCATTTATCAACCCCAAATGAAGTTTGCTCATATCATATGCAGTTAATTTAGTTAATTGAGTCACACTTCAGGGTTGAGTATAGCTAGATTTGGATAAATTATTAATTGGGTATTTATAAAAGTAAAAAGTTAAATGATAAAATGAATTAAACTCTTTTTATAAATTAAACTTAATTTATATTTATATTTATATTTTATTTTTTATGCGCTCTCTTTTAAATTTTTAAAACTTAAAAATATAAGTTGAAAGTTGCTTACATGCTAACACTTAAATATAAAATAATAAAAAGATCTAGGAAGGTTTTCTGCCAATTACCTCTATAGTATCTCCAACATTGACAACAAAAGCATTTGAGAGGGGTTTCACAGGAATCCACTTTCCATCTTTTTTTATTTGTAGGCCATCTACTTCATTACCTTGAAGAAGGATGGTAAGGGCACCAGCATCAGAATGAGGTTTCAATCCAATGACATTTTCTGGTTGAGGACATGGAGGGTATTGATTCCACCTCATTGCTTGAGATAAATCTTCAAACAAATCCAGCACTTCATTTGGTTCTATGTTAAGTGCTATTGCCATACGATCAATGATTGTGATGCAAAGTTTTTTCACTTCTAATGTGTACTTCTCTAAATTATCTCTGCAATGAAACAATGTTTGTTGAAGTCACCTACATAATCACTCAATCAACAAATACAAGATAGAGTAGCAAACAACCTCAACGGTTGGGGAAGGTTAGGAAATAAGCGTGGAATCCTTGCATATGATGGAAGAGTTTGAATGAAGAACATGTCTGCCCATTCTAGCTTTTGATTCTCAGATACAACAAACAACTGACCAAACCCTTGTATATCTTCTGGGGTTTGCCAAAATTGCTTCTTCTTGTCCATTGGAAGATTTAAGAACTCTTCAACATCCCTTTTCACATTTTCCACCAATACAGGATTGACTCCATGATTAACCAACTGTAATTATTTTTGCAGTGGAAATAATTTAAAGATAAGAAACTAAATTTATCCTCCACAGATTATTCATTAAACGCAATGAGCATAAAATCAAATTACAGATAATGAACAATAGAGATTTCCATTTATATAATGCAATCTTACTTGGCCATTGTTTCTATTAAAACTTTCTTCGGCTTTTATTTTGTCACATGAACTCTTTGATGTGATCTATGGGAAGTTTTAACTTGTAAAAATTAAAATAAAGGATGCGTAATAATTCAAACCTGGAAGAAACCCCACTCCTTGCATGCATGGTCAAGCTTCTGTAGCTCTGTTACATCTCCAGATAACAATATATTGAAGTCAATGACTGGAATTTGCGGTAAAGTTTCTGTATTAGAAATAGGAGGCTCTTGATTTGGTTGAAGATATTGCTCTGGAACTTTGGTGATGGGTTGCTTTGAAAGTTCATGGACAGAAGGCACTAATAGAGACATTTTCTGTAAATATCGACTGCTCTTTCTTGGGTAGATTTCAAGCCACACGCCCAGCAGGTGCAATTAATATAGATTTTATCCAAATCATGCAGAGGGTTGGATGCCATTATAAAAATATAATCAATATTTTTTTTTATTATAAAGGAGCATATATTTCAATGCACTATTATTGTTAAATAATTTTACCCTTGTATTTTTAATTATCCGTTAGCAATTATTTTGTTCCACGTCTCATTACATTTAGTTTCTCCACCTTTTTTTTTTTTGACATATAAGGTGATTTTGCAAATAAATTAAGAAAATAATTAGTTTTAAATTTTATAAAAAGTTATTATTTGTTTATTTTACTACACTACCCATCTATCATATTAATCATCTTAAATTAATATTTTATTATTATCATGTATCAAATAAAAATTAATTATTAAATGTAAAATCGTTAAAACATTCGTTGATTAAAAATTGAACATAGCAAAAATAATAGTGTCAAAGAAAATAAAAAGAGAAATAGCAGTTAACTATACTTTAAAAAATGTGTCAATGTATGAATATTTTTAAACTTGCATACCATATACACAAAATAAAATTAGATGATACTGATATTATTCTTAAAAAAAATTGTTAGAAAAAGTATTTGGAGAAGAACATAAGGCTGTGTTGATGACATAAAAGTAAATTTTCTTCTTTCAGAGCTGACATTGAAATTCACTCAAATAAAAAGTATATCAAAAGGTTGGCAATCTACATAATAATGATGATGAACATTAAAGAAAGGTCAATACATTTTATGAAGATGAAATTCTAATTTTAATCAGAGATGAATACCAAAAAATCACTGAATCATCCATAAATCTAACATTAGCTCTATACTTGAATAGAAACAAAGTGGAATCATTGAAACTTCCGCAATCTCAACATAGCCAAATAGAAGAACCAAAGTCCATATAAAAAAATCATGCATCTAACACCACACACGGTTTCAGACAACACAAATCTTATAATAATGCTCTCATGATCACAGTTTGAAGAGGGGATAATTACAGATTCGGTTCTGTAAAGTCAACTTGCCGATTTCATTTATATTCTTTCATAAGCCAAAAAGGAAAACAGATACAAGTGAGATAGATCTTACCTTGTGTCTACTAAAGCACAAGATAGCTTCAATGGTGATTTGAAATGGCAATCTCTAAGAGGAAATGAAACGCTTGAATGGTATGTGTTTACAAAAGAAAGAAAGAAAAATAAGTTTCGTCAATATCAGCGTTGCATACAGTAAAATGACCCCTCTGCCTAATAAAACGTTGAACCAATAAGTGGATTTTTGTAGTTTAATAAACGTTTTCCTATAGAAATCTCCATAATGTAATATTTTTTAAATTAAGAATCTTGTGCTTTTTAAAAAAAAATATTAAACAAGTCTTTACTTGTCTGCCACTTTACCCTTATGTAAGAATAACTTTAAATAATTTATTTACCTTAAATGTCATGTTATTTTAATTACTAATACAATTCTTCTGAATAATGGGATAATGTTTCTTCTTTTCAAATGATTAAGTGTGTGATTAAATTTATCTTAAATAATTATAAATATAAATATAACGGAATGTATTTTAATTAGAATATTAAAATATACATAAATTCAGAAATTTTAATGGTTTTTAAAAGACACTGTAAGTTGCGTGAAAAATTTATCAAAGAAATGTATTTTAATTGTAATTATATGTTTTACAAATTAAGAACCGCTAATTAATGCTAAATCATGCTTTCAATTTGGAGAAGGATGTGTGACAGTTTTCTTTTTTATACATGGATATATGTATGACAGCTTTTATTGATAATAAAAACTCAGTAAAGAAATGTTTTAACTAATATTTTTTGTAAAGTAATTTTTGTTGCAAATGATCAAATACCTATCGTTAATTTTTAAAATTTTATAATTAGTAAAGACCTAATAGAAAATTTACTTTTAATATGCTGACTAAATAAAATATTTTTAAAATATAGGAGATTTGTTTTAAAAAGGAAAAATCTATTTAAAAATTTAATAATTTTTTTTTATTTATAGAATAGCTTTAATTATTTATTTAATCTTTCATTGTCTCTTTGGAATGAAAAAGATTACAATGAATAAAAAATTTATAAAACTATCATTTAGTAAAACCACGCAAAGAATACTGTCAACGGATGAAAACTATCTTTTTATTTAAATATCTAAGAAGTAGAAAATTAATCATTCCAAATGTTATATTAAAAATTATGTAACTGGAAAATATTTAGTTAAAATGATATACTATGACATATAGTCAATGTTATTTCACTTTTAGTGCCGTATGCTTTTCAAATATGTCAAAATAGTTGCTTCAAATTCAAAGTTTTCAAGTTTCAGCACAAGCTAGATTGATGTGCTGTTTTTGTGACTATTGTTTTCATTATAATTTTAATCTTGGAATTAAATATATTTTTATTTTTATAAAATTACCAATTTTCAATCACAGTCCTGGTTATACAGGCTGAGTTATTAGGTTATTTACTGTATATACAAATCCAAAGCAAAACTAACTTCCTAAGAAAATCAATCATTGCTCAATGTTATAAAATTAATTAATGTTGCACAGTTGTTTATAAAAATTATTTTTTTTTCTGTATTTTTATTATATTTTTTATTTTTTTAAATAACCAAATATTATGAGTTATTTCAGTTAACTTAAACGCTGTGTTTATATTTTATACTTTTTAAAATTTTAATTTTTTTACCTCCTACAATTTATTTGAAAAGTTGATCTAGTAAATTTAAAGAATAAAACTTTCATTCATACATTTTATTTTTCAAATATTTCCTTTGTGTTTTTTTAATTATTTAGTTTTCAGATATTTAATTTAATATTAACTTTTTATTTTGTATTTTTCCACTATTAGCCTAAATGAAACTAACTCCAAACATATATTTTATTAGAAAATGAGAGAAGATTCGATGAAATAAACCAAATGCTAATTACTAAAATATAACTGTCTAAATACTAAAATATTTAATTTAATGCTCTTTCTCCGACTTCTGCTCTGTTTTGCTTCTGCAGTTTACAGTGTCTCTATTTAATTCAATGAATCATTGGATAAAAAATATAACCCTCTCCCAAATATATCCTAAAAAATCATATTCCTCACTCACTATAGCCAAACCAAGCATCCACTATATATTCATTGCTCGTTGCCACAATGGCAGCAGCCATGCCTACCTAAGTTATCTATTTACATTTAGAGATGATAAAACAAGTTACTAAGTTCATTTGGGTCGATCTACTGTGAGTAGCAAATTTCAGTAGATCAAGCCAAAGAATCCAAATCTAATTTGAGTGAGTTACAAAAATAATTTCCAAATCAGACAAAATTTGATTTTTTACAATTTTTTGCAAAATTTTGCGATTTTATCCTCCTCAATATCAAGTAGTCATTCAATGATGTGTGGAGTCCATAGACTTCTTTACCAGTATTAAAAAATCATAAAGACCCGGTTTGCAATGCAGTGCCGCTGTATAGCTTTTGCAACTTTTTGGCGTTGAGCTATGGACAAACAAAACAAACTAAATAAAAAAGAAATCAAGCTAACCTTCAAAGAACATGCATCTTGCTTTTCTATGCCTTTTGTTTTATTATTGATTTTTCAAAATCTGAATTTGCGTAATCATTCCTAATGAACTAAAATGTGAATTAATATTAAATTAAACAAAAAAAGCTGAATCAAGCCTTTATAAAACAGAAAGCGAAATGAAAGGGAAAAAAAGTGCAATCATAATAAAATTTAACAGGGGAAGAAGGTAAATAACGAGTGGAACAAAGGATGAACGTAAAACCAAATGAAATGAAAGGGTAATAAATAACAGTAAGTAGATAGATAGATAAAAAAAGGTGGACAAAATACAGCAATTACAATACCTCAGGCACGTATTGACCAACTAGTACAAACATACAGATTTCAACTCCTACTATAGAAATTTGTAGGCCACCATAGCTCCTATTTACATCACCCACTAAAAGCCTTGAACAACGTGTATCATAGTTTAGCTACTGTGTATCACAATTGCTTTTGGTGTACACGTTCTATTTTCATCGAGTAAAACATTTATTCTCTACTATGAGCACAACTACTTAAATTTGTTTCTGATATTATATAAAAGCAAACTTGGTCCATAAAATTGACAACTATCAATCAATTTAGGTTTTGAAATGGACACCCAAATCAATAATTCAACTTTTAACATTACTAAATCATCAATTTAATCTTTGACTTTGACAACTATCACTGAATTTGGTCTGACAGCATGAACTAAATTAATCAATTGATGTACACCGACATCAACGATTAAATTTGATTAGTATTTGCCAAAGTCAAGGACTAGATTTACGGATTCATAATGTGATTTACTAAATTGACTGATTGTGACAACTTTTAAGACTAAATTTGATGATTTTTTTTCATTTTAAGGATCAAACTAACAAATGGGTCAATTTTAAGGACTATATCTATGCCTTATTTTTTCAATCCCCAGCAAAATCCTACATATACTTTTCTTATTGACCCACCTAATTTTGGATCCTAAAGACATCAAGACAAGATTTCCCTTGTAGCTCACGTGAAAGGAATGTTTTGTAGTACTCTGCAACAGTAGTTCTTCTAAACAAAGCAGGTCTTTCAGGAGTAACAAGGCTTGGTGTTGGACCCAAACTTTTGTTCATTTGAGGTCGGTGAAATGCAGCAATGGAAATTCTCTCTTTCTCTGAGTTAATTGTTGCGCGATGTTCGATGCTCCGATAAATTCCATTCGTTAATATCTGCAAAACCATTTAAGGAAGGTAACAAATGACTTCAAAATGAAAAACACAGAATGTTTTTTCTATTTTGGCCACGAATATACTATTCGAGACATTATGTCCCTAATTAATTCTCAGCAGGGTACTACCGTGACCTTGCCACTGGATACATCCATTTTCCAACCCCACATAAAGTTTGCTTACATGCGGTTCATTCAAATTTATATTCTTACACACAAACACAAAATAATCAAAGATTTAGGAAGATTTTTTTGCCATTTACCTCCATAGTATCTCCAATATTGACAACAAAAGCATTTGAGAGGGGTTTCACAGGAATCCACTTTCCATCTTTTTTTATTTGTAGGCCATCTACTTCATTAACTTGAAGAAGGATGGTAAGGGCACCAGCATCAGAATGAGGATTCAATCCAATGACATTTTCTGGTTGAGGACATGGAGGGTATTGATTCCACCTCATTGCTTGAGATATATCTTCAAACAACTCTACCACTTCCTTTGGTTCTATGTTAAGAGCTATTGCCATACGATCAATGATTGTGATGCAAAGATTTTTCACCTCTAATGTGTAGTTCTCTAAATTATCTCTGCAATGAAACGTTTGTTAAAGTTACCTACATAATCACTCAATCTTATTTTATAGTAGTCTGGCTAGCAAAACAAATACAAGATAGAGTAGCAAACAACCTCAATGGCTGGGGAAAATTAGGAAATAAGCGCGGATTCCTTGCATATGATGGAAGGGTGAGAATGAAGAACAAATCTGCCCATTCTAGCTTTTGATCCTCAGACATAACAAACATCTGACCAAACCCTTGTGAATCTTCTGGGGTTTGCCAAAATTGCTTCTTCTTTTCTATTGGAAGATTTAAGAACTCTTCAACACCTCTTTTCACATTTTCCAATAATAAAGGGTTGACTCCATGATTAATCACCTGTCATTAATTTTGTAGTAGAAACCATTTAAAGATAAGAAAATTAAATTTATGTCCTTCATAAAATATTTCAACTATCATTTATGCAGGAATGTTTTGAATAAAACATATTCACGAAACATAAATTTGGCATAAGAGTGAACAAATTTATTTTATATATCACATGGTTTGTTATTATTTGCAACAGTACTACACGAACTTGATAAATTTCAATTAGTTTTCTCCCTTCCTAAAAATCAAAGCTAGAATCAACAATATGAAACCCTTAACTAGTTTACCATGCTTATTTATTAATCACAATTATGTATTGAACGTATTTAAAAACATTGCATAGTTTCATTCATTTTAGGTCATGATATTCATGAAACCATAGAGATTATCATTAATATAATGTAATCTTACTTGTCAACATTTTTTTCTTAAAATTTGCTTCGGTTTTATTTTGTCACGTGAACTTTTCCAAGTGATATATAGGTAGAAGTTTTAACTAGTTAAAAATAAAAGTAAAGGAGTAATAATTCAAACCTGGAAGAAACCCCACTCCTTGCATGCATGGTCTAGCTTCTCTAGCTCCGTTACATCTTCAGATAACAATTTACTGAGATCAATGACTGGAATTTGCGGTAAAGTGTCTGAATTAGAAATAATAGGAGAATCTTGATTTGGTCGAAGATACTGTTCTGGAACTTCGGTAATGGGTTGCTTTGCAAGTTCATGAACTGAAGGCACCAACAGAGACATTTTTTTTTAAAATATTGCCTCCTCTTTCTTGGATTGATGTCAAGCCCACAGGCCTCTAAGGTGCAAATATGGGTTGGATCCAATTCCAAAACAAAATAATTAAATTTTATTATTACAAAGAATGGCAGAAAAGCATATTATGTCAAAGAATCGTAATTTTAATCCACTATTATTGCTAAATAACTTTACACTGGTATTTTTAATCATTTGCTAGCACACATTACAATGAATTTAACGTCTCGTTACAGCTAAATATACTTTTAAAAAAATGCATCAATGCATAGTTGAATAACAATTCATTTTTTTAGGGTGATAATGCATATTCATAATGAAATTATATAATGCTGATATTTTTCTAAAAAGAAATTATTATTAGAATGTATTTGGAGAAGAAAATAATATAACAAGTCTGTGTTGATAATGCATATTCATAAAAAAAAATGTATCATTGCTGATGTTTGAATTAGATAGTAAATAGTAAACCACGTAATATATATTTCCCAGATAGATGCGTCCATTAATTAACACCAGGATTCACAACGAAGATTCGTAGTCCAGCACGCTAGAGCATTTAAAGAAATCTACCAAACTTTAGAAGCAGGAATTAGCCTGCAAAATATACGTTCAAGATGTAATTTTAACAAAACTCGAGACACATTAAATGCTGTTAATTATTTTTTAATTTTAAAATAATCGATTCTATGAGTAATATAAACAGGGCACTATGTAAAATAGGCTTTCAAACCTTACTTTAATGTTATGATCCCAATAAACTTGCTATGTCATCCACTGAACCAACGGCCGTACAAAGTGACGGAAGTGAAAAATTTATAAATATATATTTTTTATATTAAATATGAGCCTTCATTTTTTTAATGAAAATTATTTTCTTAATTTAAAAATTATTTTCAATATAATATAATATTAACAATAATTATTATATTTTAAATTTTATAAAATTCACTAAATTTAAAAATAATTACCTTTAGTGTTTTTTATTTAAATTTCTATTTTCATTTAGTAATACTAGTACTAAACGAAGATTCAACTGAGACACTTGCAGAGGGAATGTTACATGAACACACTTTCGCACTTACCAGCGAAATCAAATAAAAGAAAAAATCCATACAAGAAAATCCATGCATCTAACATCCCCCACACAGATTCGGACAACACAAACCTTACAATAATAGCCTCATAATCACAGTTTGAAGAGGGGATAATTACAGATTCAGCTATGCAAATCCAACTCACCGATTTCATTTATATTCATTCATAAACCAGAAAGGAAAACAGATACGAGTGAGATAGATGTTACCTTCTCTGCTAAAGCACAGGTAGCTTCAACAATGATTTGAGATAGCACTCTCCAAGAGGAAAAAAAACGCATGAATGGTCAGGTGTTTACAGTTCTGAAAGAGGGATAAAGAGGTCGGTCAAAGAAGAAAGAAATTTCGTCAACGTCAGGGTTGCGTACCGCGGAATTAAAGAATCACCAACTGCCTAATTAAAAAAATATATTTATTAACTTCAATTCTTTTATATTTATATTAATTTTAATTCTTAAAATTCAATTTAAGTGATTAATAATAATAAAATTTATTAAAAATATTTTTTTTATATTTTTAGTAAAATTATTTATTAAATATTTAAATTCTACTCTAAAAAAAGTTAAATAACATTGTTAAAAAAATCACTTTATGTTGAACTAATTCGTGGACTTGTCTAATTTAACTAAAGTTTTTCAATAGAACTCTCCATAATTTAATATATTTTTAAATTAGGAATCTTATCCTTGTTTTAAAAAAAGTAAAAAAGTTTTCAGTGGGTCGTCCCTTGACCCTTATAATGTAGCTTAAATGACACGCTTATTACGGTACTTTTGACTACTCTTCTAGAAGTTTAATCTTACTGTGTAATGTCTCTTCTATTTGCGTGCGAAGTTTATCCATAAAAATTGTGTAATGGACTTTTTTTTTTTAATGCATGATTTATTAATATTAAAAATTGAATAATGAGATGTTTAAACTTATATTTATTTTAATTTAATTTTTTTTTATAAATGATCAAATATTTGTATGCATAATATATGTAATGGTAGTTAATTCAAATGGTTCACATACTTTATTATATTTACATGTATAATCAACTTAGAAATATCAACCACACATACTCTTGTGTGTTAAAAAAGACGTGTTAAAAAGTATATTACTGATATTATTCAGTCAATTTATATTATACTGCAAAATTTACACGATTAAGTAAGTTACATTAAGAGAGATACGAAATTAGAGCTAGAAATTACAGAATTAGGTTGATTGCACTTCAAATATTTACGGGGTTAAGTTTTTTTTTTTTTTCGTTCTGAGATGGTGCTCAATATCAAATTTATTACAAACTTTGATATCATCTTTAATTTATATTCTTTCCTAACTCAACTTCAAAATTTAACTTATATTATAAAGATTGTTTTAATTGTTATAAGCTCTTATTTAACTATACATGCAATCAATGTAAATTTTTAGAAAAGTATAAAAACATTAATGATAACATTTTAAAAAAATTAAAAACCATTTAAAATTTTAATAAATTATTCAGATTTGTAGAATTATTTATTTATTTAATCTCTCATTGGGTCTTCATCATTAAAAAGGATTATAATCAACCTAAAATTTTTCATAAAAGTAATATTTAGTAAAATAACGCCAAGAATATTGTCAATGAATGAAAACTATTTTTTTACTTAAATATCTAAGAAGGAGAAGACTGATGCTAATTCCGGATGTTTTATTAAAAAGTATATAATTAATTGAAAAACGTTTATTTAAAAAATACATTATGCGTATAATCACTGTTATTTCACTTTCAATATCGTATGCATTTCTATTCTCTCGTACGTGCTAAAAGTTCAAAGTTTTGAAGTTTCAACAAAAGCTACATTGACTTACAATTTTTCTTGACTGTTGCTGTCATTACAATTTTAGAATTTAAATTTAAATTATCTTCTTTAGAAAAAAAATTACATGAAATATCATAAATAATGTTTTTACTTTTGTTCAATTAGAATTAAAGTTTTATTAAAAATTATATAATTAATTGAAAAAAATTATTTAAAAATATATAGTACGATTTATAATCAACGTTGTTTCACTTTCAACACCGTATGCATTTCTAATCTCTCGTAGGTGCTAGAAATTCAAAGTTTTGAACTTTCAACAAAGCTAGATTAACTTGCAATTTTCCATCACCGCTGCTTTCATTACAATTTTAGAATTTTAATTTAAATTATCTGTATTTTAAATTTTGTATTAATTAAATTAATTATTTTTAAAATTTTGAAATTTATTAATTAAAATTCTATTCAATTTTTAATCTCCAAATTTTACATACTTCTTCAATTTTCATTAAATTTCTACTAAATTCTTAACTTTAAAAGTTTTAAATTATTTAATACTATTTTTCAAGAACAAAATTTAAGTAAGATATTTTACTGATCTTCAATCAGAATTTGAATTTTATTTTGATAATAATATTGTATTGACTTCTAATGTGGATGTACTAACCTTTAATATCAAACTTTAACTTGACTATCAGGGAGTATCAATATATATCCTTTGAATCTTGCTTGATATTTTATACTTTAATATTATTGTTTTTATATTTCTATTGAATTATTTACAAAAGATATTTAAAATTATAAATTTTGAAAATTGTTCACACAAAATTAAATTAGATTTGACAAATATAAGAAATGATATAAATATCAAGTTAAATATCAATAAAAGTAGACATGAGGGTTGATTTTTGCCTAACCTTACTCCATTAATATTTTAATATAAATATATAACTTTTAAAGATTATTTTTACCAAACTAAATTAGATTTGACAAATATAAGAAATAATATAAATATTAAGTTAAATATCAATAAAAGAAGACATTGAGATTCAACTTCACTTAACCTTCCTCCCATTCATATTCCAACATAACTATTTATTTACTCTATTACCAATATTAAATTGTACTTATAGCAACTAATAAAATAAAGTCTTATTTCTAATAACATGATTTATTAGATAATTTATTTTAATTCTTAACTTAGAGAGTATTTTCTAATAAAACCTTAAGTTATAAATTAAATTTCGCATGACTAAAATTTAACAACCATTAAGAATTAATCATTAATATTATTAAGAAAAATTAACATTAACTAATGTATTTTAAAATATACATGAGAGTGAGTTATTTATATTCAATCACAATGAAGAAAGGATTAGCTATTTATTGTCATAAAAATAATTTTAATAACTAAAAAAAGTATATGTGAAATTCTCCACTTTAAGCTTCAAAGTTGTTAGAATAAAATATTTTTCTTAGCCTTTTTAAGATGTTCTACATTGGTTAAAAATAGAGGCAAAATACTTCTTATAAGGGTTAGGGCAATCTTCCTTTCATGAGTTAGCTTTTGAGAGTGAATTAAATCTAAATTTCTTAACATGATATTTACTAATAATAACCATTAAGCACTAGTTAAACTAAAAGTCTTTTTTATTTCTCTCAAAGAACATGATAAATACACTACACTTACTTCTGTGATTTTTAATGCAATTCAACATATTTCTCAATAAAAATTTATCATTTAATTTTTTTTTTTTAACTAGTTCCCTGTGAATACTAGTTAACAATACCCATAGTTAAAATCGGAAGAAAGAATTACTAGTATATTTAGTTGCACAAAAGTATAGGTTTATATCTTTGTCAATAAATTTCTTGCAACTTGAGTTTTGTTTAATCGATACTTTAACTCCCACATTTGTGGTGGTTAAACCATTGATTTGCATAAAGACAATAGTGCAAACACTTCTCGACAATTCATTCATAGTAAATCAAGAATTGCCAACAAATATGTAAATGAAAGTTAAAACCACCACTAATCATCTCTCCTAAAATTGTCACTGAAACATTTTTGTTATAACGATAGAATAAATGTGGAGTAGGCATATAAGTGGGCATGCGTTATATACTAAGCAATTAGTTCATCACACACATATGAAGTCTCATGATACAAACTTAAAATACTACGATATTAGCATCAAAGATAATTTGAAGCCTTGAATAGTGAGTCAATACATACTAGCATTGTTATTGTTTAGTAGGCTTGTCCGTAGTTATACATATGTATTTTTATTTTTTTTGCTGTGAGTTTATTTTGTTTTATTAAAAGCTCATGCAAAGTCCTTTGCATTTTTTATTCTAACGACGTCAATGTACGATTTCCCTTGCAACTCACGAGAAAAGTATCCTTTGTAGTAATCTGCTACACCAATACTTTTGAATAATGCAGGTCTTTCAGGAGCAATAAGGCTTGGTGTTGGACCTACGATTTTGTTCATTTGAGGCCTGTGAAATGTAGCAATGGAAATTCTCTCTTTCTCTGAGTTAATTGTTGCTCGATGTTCAATACTTCGATAAATGCCATTGGTCAATATCTGCCAATATATGAAACAAGTACCAAAAAGCTCTTGATAGTCATCAAAATGTTTAGTGTGTTAAGTAATAAAAGTACGCAAATGCATGCTAACTGTATTCTAAGGAATTAAAAAAAAAAATTTAATTAAAAAAATTACTTTTAATTTCTTAATCAGTATCCTACGAGCTCTTGTTAATCAAAATGTTTGGTTTAGCCAATTACCTCCAAAATATCTCCAACATTGATGATAAAAGCATCAGAGACGGGTTTAATAGGAATCCACTTTTCATCTTTCCTTATTTGGAGGCCTTCCGTTTCATTGACTTGCAAGAGGATGGTAAGGGCGCCAGCATCAGAATGAGGATTAAGGCCAATGACATGTTCTGGTTGGGGACATGGAGGGTAGCAATTCATCCTCATTGATTGACTTAAATCTTCAAATAACTCCAGCAATTCATTAGGTTCGATCTTTAGAGCTTTTGTCATAAGTTTAATGATTGTGGTGCAAAGTTTTTCCAACTCTAAAGAATAGCTCTCTATATAATGTCTGCAATGAGACAAAGCTTGCAGGAGTAAATTACCATCAAATATTATATAATCAATGATGTTATAACGAAGTGATAACATGAAAGAGAAGTAGATTTGTTCTAAAAAATTATAATAATGTATGAAAAGAGATTGGAAATAACCTGAATGGTTGGGGAATACAAGGAAATAAACGGGGATGCCTTGTGTATGATGGAAGAGTGTAAATATAGAACATATCTGCCCATTCTAACTTTTGTTCTTCAGATATAACAAAATTTTGACCATACCCCTCCAAATCTCCTTGTTTTTGCCAAAATTTTTCCTTTTCTTCCATTGGAAGATTAAAGAACTCTTGAACACCAGCCTTCACGTTTTCCACCAATGAAGGGTCCACTCCATGATTTATCAACTGTAATTAATTCCCGTGTTGAAATTCTCACAAACTTACAAATTAAAATTAAATTAAATTTCATTCATAAAATATGTGCATTGCTATGTGGGGAGACTTGTGCTGGAATGGCACAAGGAATATTTATGATGAGGGCAAAACTAGATTCTTGGTTAATAAGAATTGAAAACATTGTTACATTTTACAAATTTATTGCATCCAACATGCATATTTTGCTTTAAAATTAATTAAGGGTCGTACTAATAAGTACTCTTAAGGTACTCGTTCAAAAATTAATAAAAGACTTTATTAAAAATATTTCAAATTTCTTAATCAATACCTAATTTCTATTTAGTAGTATTTGCTTAAATGTACAAATTCAATTCTTTATTTGATTTGTCGTGCTTACATTAATTAACTACGTAAAATACTATTGGAACCACGAAGTGTAGTTCATCCAAAACACCTACATTTGAGTGGACTTAAAAAAATGAGGAAAGTTACTAATCACAACGAGTCCATGAGCTGTGATAAGGTTTCAAATTGTTTGAGGCATGCAATGCAGTAATGGTAAGCTAATTTTGCAATATTGCAATCCCAATTTATGAGGGCGAACGACATAGTATCTATGTTTCCTTTAATGTGGGTCAACAGCAAACGAGGGTTTGCATTTTGCAATTACAAACGCAAGTTTGACCAATTTTTATAATGTATAGTTTTGCATTTGTTTTCCCTCTCTAACCGGAAATTGCATAAAAAAAATGTATAAAAATCATAATTGAATTAAAAATTTTACACTCAATTTTACTATAAATCTATTTTGGAAATAAGAAAATTCAAAACTTCAATCTATTTATTTCGATTTTAATTTTAATTTAACCAAATACTTATGTAAATATTTTCATATAGGAGCTATAATAAAAATGTTATATATACTTTTTTATTTAAATTTATATTAATTTAAAAAATTAATTTAAATGTACTGGTAGTAGAAATTTTTTTATTTTATCACTTAATTATGAGTTGTCATGTTAATAAGATTTGTGATTACATATTCTTAAAAAATGAGAATATTTTTCAAATCTTTCCAAATGCTTTTAGAAGTTGGTTTTCTTTTTCACAATGTTAAATAATATTTTTTTACATTAAATATTTGTTTTAATTTAATAAAAATTAAATTTTCATTTACTTTTATTTATTATTAGTAATTATATTTTAAAAAAATTATAAACAGTCATATAGTATATTTTAAATTACTTATTTAAAAAACTTAGTTTAATAATATCTGTGCATGAAAACACCACTGGTTTATTTTAAACTAATCATTATTTAAACGAAATATTAACATCTAAAAGCCGGTCCAAGTTTAAATATATAGCCAAGATACATTTCAGTTTTTAAATAATCTCTTTATTTCAAAATAAATGACATTTTAACCAAAAAAAATTATATTAAATGATGTTTATACTTCAATAAACTATTAATTTTTATTATAATTTTGTCTAAAATAAATAATGAACATAATACCTTTTAATTTCTATTTAGTCATTTTTAACAATTAAACAAAATACATCATAAAAAATCAAGGTATTTTTTATTTTTCTTAATTGTCATAAAAAATTATCTTTGAATGAAAATTATTTTGAAATAAAGGGAGTAATAACTTCCTGCCCGAACCACTGTTCCAACTACTTCAGTCAATAATTGGGTAGATCATAATAATTTATTTATTTAATATAATAATGAGTAGTAATTAGAAAAAAAAAATATCATTATATATTTTAATAGGCTTATAATATATTCCAATTGGCCCTGATTATAACTTAAAAAAAACAGAATGAAAATTTTAAAATTAAATAATGATATATATAGATATATATATATATATATATATATAAATATATATCTGTTTCAATTAATTACTTTAGTTTTTATGTCATAAAAAAAAATTTCGGAGTGTAAAATCTTTAATTATATGGTCTTGAAACTTCAAGAGTAAATTTAATGTTTCAAAACAAAATATGTGATACTCCTCCTTCGTGTGTTGAACACTCTCTTCCTTCGCCTTGTTTTACTCTTAATTTTTACACAATTAGTCAGTTTTTTATGTATAAAATATTTTTAAGTAAAAAGATAAAAATATAACTTAAGGAGTGACTTATACCTTTAATTTAGGTGAAAAAATATATGAATTCTAAAAATAATTCACTTTCAAGAATTATAACATAAAAATATATTCTCATTAACATTGTAACTTTTAGGGTTTTAACTCTTTTTACCAAAAAAGAAAAAAGTGATGTTACAGCTAATTTTGGATATCCAAAATGCTGTATATATAATCAAGACAATTTAATTAAAAAATCTTTCAAATAGTCAGTTAAATTTGTGTGCCAGCAGTATATAAATCATTTCTTGAGTTCGATTCGAATTCCCTTTACTTTGTAGAAATATAAAGAGGGATAAGAATATTAGAAACCTGGAAGAAGCCCCATTCTTTGCATGCGTTGTCAAGCTTCTGTAGCTCAGATAATCCATCTTCAGACAACAATTTACTGAGATCAATTACTGGGATTTGGGGTAAAGAGATTGTGTTAGATACAGATACAGTTGGGTCTTGGTTTAGACGAACATATCGTTCAGGAACTTTGGTTATGGGATGCTTAGCTAGCTCCTGAACAGAAGGCACCAGAAGAGAGGTTCCAAGCTTCGCTATTTCGAAATCCATAAGTACAAATCTGTCTAATCACCTTCTCATTGATTCTCTCGCTTCGCTTAAATCTTTCGGTCATACTCAAATAAATAAGTCTGCCAATTCGATTACCAAGTAACTTAATAGCCTATTCAATATGTATTATATTATTCTTTAATATGCATCACATAATGTCCAACTCATTAAATGATTTACGAAAATAATACTTTTACTTTTTTCTTTTACATTTTAATAACTTTATTTTGTTTTTTCCTACCATTTTATATTTATAATTAGTATTTATTTGAAAGAAGATAATAAAGAACTGAAATATTAATTAATATCGTATATCAAAGATATAACACAAATAAGTGGTACTTTTTATAAAACTATTATTTATTTTAATTTTAAATTTTTTGCAAAACCTGAATTAATGAAACTTCAAATTTATAACTAATATCTATTGTATATATAATCATTTGACAAAAATTGTTAATATATGTATTCTAATATTTTTTTGGTTGATCACGGAGCAATGACTGTGGAATTAAAAAATAAGATAGTTACTAACGTATAACCCTTAGCTAAGGAGAAATGACCAAAGAAAAACACCACTGAATAAAGAAATTCAAACCCATGCTCAGAAGCTACTGCATATTCAAAACTCTTAATCGGTTAATCCTTCGTCTACTTGCTTAAATGAATAAATAATTCTATTATGTAAACATTAAAAATTAAATTATTATTAAGAACACAAGGTCAAAAGTTCAACAAAATTTAAAACCATTTCTAACACTACAAAACAAGTTTTATCCCTAGTTTGGCATTTAATTTTATCATGCAAAAATTAAATTATTAATATAAATATCACAAGTCTACACTACCCATACAGTGCATGTCATACTAAGATACAAATTGATATATCATATCACTACATAACCTAATATTATTATTATATTACTGTTACGAGATATTTGATATGTGAATTATTTTTATTCTAAAAAATTATGTTTAAAGTTATTATTTTTAAAATATTTTTTAGAATATTTTCATGAGAATAGTTAAACTTTGTTCACCCCTTCCATAAAAGTATTATACATAAAAATATAATTAGAAAATAGATTCTTAAAAATGTTAACACAATTTTGTCAGAATGTTTATTTAAAAATAAAATAAAACGTTATAAGTATGAATTTTATCATTTTTAACTTTTTTTTTGGAAAAACTTATAAAAAAATTTTTTGGCCAAACACTCCCTCAATGTAAAACCATAATACTAATAATTTAATTTTTATTAAATGTAAACTTTACTGATAGAATAATCCTAGCACAAAGATTTTTTATCTGCTGATTAAAAAAAAACAAATAGCCTAACGTGTCATGTTTAAATTTTTCCAAAGACAATGAACGTTTTGGTGGGACAAGTATTAACTTCTTTTAATAAATGGTCCATTAAATGATTCAAACTTACTTTTGAGGCGAGTTAAATGGCAACTAAACGTCTGCAAAATCATTAATATCTCTGAGACACTGACAGAATATATAATTTTTTGAGTCCTTTATAAAACAATCTTTTAATTAAATTATATACAGTATATTAATAAACAATTCTTTTAAAATGTATTTAAGAGCAAGATAAAGCATTATTCTCCTAAAATCATTAAAAAAACATGTAATGTATTCTTTTATAATAATTTAAATTATATAATAGAATATATTTAATATTTTTAATGTGTCCTCTTAAATACTTATTAAAAAAATAATATACAGCTTTGTTAAAATCTGTGATAATAAAAGATAAATATGTAAAAAAATAAATATTTTTAAAATTTAGTAAATTTTATTATATTAAAACCGAACAAAAAAAATCTCTAAAAAAATGTATAAAAAATTACATAATTCAAGTTTGTAAATAGAAAAATAAATATTAAAAAAAATTGTCCATAAGTTTATCCTACATGACTAAGGTTAATTGGAGGGAAATATAACTTATTAATACTAAAAATCTTAAAAAATAAAAAAATAAAAACTTCAGTATTTACAAAATGAGTTAAATTATTTATATTAAAATTTTGCTAAATTGGTTTTTACATTTGATGGGTTAATTATTATGATTATTACATAATTTTGTTTCTCCATAATTTTTTACTATTCTTCAACTCGAGCACAGCCACGTCAATTCGGCCCAATTTGTGTAATTTTTTTTTTCAAACTAAATAGCATCCTCTCTATAAAATACTTTTCTAGAACATCTTTTATAATATTATTTTTTTTTATCTTTCTTAATTATATCAATTTTATTATCCTAATTTTTACCTTTTTTTATATATTTTCCTTTACAAAAATTATATATATATAAAGAGACAAAAAAAATTTAAGTATAAGACCTATTAAATATAAATTAAATAAAAAATTAAAATTTTATATAAGAGTTTTTAGGATTACACTGTTGCAAAAATATCTTTTACCATTTATAAAGCGTACATTTTATTTTATAGGATTGAGTTTAATAAACATTAAATATAACATGGATATTTAATATATAATGTAAAAAATTTGTTTAAATTAATTTGTTTTTAGATTAAATTAAATTTTTATTTTTCATAATTTTTGACATATATTTATCAGACTATTCACGCCTATAAATGTTTTCAAAATAACTTTTACCCCCATTTCGTTAGAATAACATTTACCAACTTTTATAAAGTAGGCAAAATTATTAATTTTTTTAATTCTATTTTTGGATAACACAACATTTAATGTGTTAACATTTAAATTAACTGTATTATTATTTGGTATTATAGAGAGTAAAAATTAAAATAAATCTTTTAAAAATACAGAAAATTAAATTTAAAATAATTTTATAGAAATTAAAATTTATTATAATTTGAAAAAATATATATATTAAAAAGAAATCAGTGAGTTGGGTAGCTGTACGATATTGTAACCGGTAGAAGCAATTGCACGTGATTGTCAACTTAGGAAAGGTAGTTGGAGTCTCTGAACAAATCTTCTTGACGGTGGCTTTAAATAATTGAATTCTTATTATGTTGTTGTAGTTGAAACGTTGAATGGTTCAACTTTGCTTTCAATAAGATAGGTTTACTTTGTATTTTTATGTCATGTGATTTTGGTATTTCAAAAATTTTACATTAAAAGCAATTATTTAATTTTTAATTATTAGAATTAATAAAATCAAATTCTTTCATCAAATTTTATTTTCTTAAAACTATTTAATTTTAAAAAATTATGAACTAAATTTACTAAACTATTTTAAGTAATCTTTCACTCAAAATTCATTAATTAAAATCTTATATTTTATTCAAAACTCTAATTTTTTTTATCTTTTCAAATTAATCAAAACCTTAACTCTCACCCCAATAATATTTTTTTAAAATTTCATCCAATTTTTTTATTTTTAACTTGTTTAAATTATCTTTTCTATCAAGATTTTGGTAAGCTTCTAATTATTTAAGTAGTAAATAAGAATTTTATATAAAACGAAGGTGATAAAAAAACTTAATTATAATAATTTAAAATCAAGAAATTAAGAATAAAAAGTTATAAGAAAAATAAAAAGTATACATTATTCATACTTGAAAGATAAATTAAAACTATAATTAAGTTAATAGAATATTAAAATATTGGCAGTTTCCTCCATTGAAATTAAAAAATAAAAATTGACAATGCATAATGTTTTAAGGGTTATCTTTCTAAAAAAAAATTATATATATAAAATTTATTTGTTAAAATTATTAACTGCCTAACTTGTTCAAATAAATACATCATCATCACACTATTTGTTAGTATTATATTTTCTTTTGCTATTGAAAAAATGTTAGTCTCAGTCTTAAATTGAAAATAAGTATTTGATGATAATAACATTTTATTAAAAAAGTATTATATTTAAATAACATATCATAAATATGTATTTTTTAAAAATAAAAAAGTTCTATTTATTAATGTCTAGAAAGCTAACGTTAAACCGAACTCTTGAAATAAAAAACAATTAGAGGACAGCATGTTGCAAATATGGTAAAAGCGCTGTTTTTAGTGATGATGATACTGTTTTCCTTTTTAGAAGAAAATAGAAAGCCAAAGGCAACAGAACATCAACTTCACCAAATGCTTTCAAACAGTGACAATGGAGTGAACTTACAGGTGCAGAAGAGAGTCATGATGGGATGGGACCCCTTGTCATCCTCAATTTAAGGTTAGCACAATCGGATTTGTATTTCCTCCCGTTGCATAAAATTTAACGTTTCTTTAAAAAGAAAAAATGATAAAAAATTTTTTTGCAACATTAATTTAAGTGAATTTTTAAAATTTAAACAAATTTTATAATTTTATTTAAATAAATTTTGTTTGACTTACTTAAAAGAATGAAAATTGAGTGTAGGTAAGAGGTGACTAAAAATAGATAGAAAAAAGAAGAGGAGCGGTGGCTGGAAAAAAAAAAGGCAATGGAGTTGAATATGCATATTTAACTTGACTTTTATTTAATTTTTATACAAAAGTTAATTATAATTATTATTTTTATTTTTTATCTGATTTAATCTGAATTTGATTTAAATTGTGTAACTATAGTAGGTGAGTCTATTATTATCTTGTTTAATTTAAATCTAACTTGATGTGGTAAATGAGTCTACTAGACGTGGTAGGTGAGATTTTTTATATATACAAAGACTAAAATCTGAAATTTTACTTAAATGATATTGAATTACTTGCACTTGTATTCATATAATTAACTTTTTTATTTTTTATATAAAAGTACTATAATAGATTTTTCCTGTAATACATAACATGATTATAGTATATTTTAATGGACATTTAATTCAAATACAAAAGTTGATATTAACAAATTTTAGTTTAAAATAAAAGTTAAATAAATTTTAGTACACATTAGTGCTTTTTAAAAATATCTTGTATTATTTTTATTGAAATATTTCAAAATTATTATTATAAAACAATGTTTATTATTTTTTCATTTTTTAAGTTTTAAATATATATTTGAATATTTTAAAAAATATTTTTCTTTTATTTTAAAATTTGTAATTAATGTTTTTTTATAAATTAAAAGCATACCAAAATGATATCTAATAAGAAATAGGGAAAAATAACTAATTGGACTAATTTATGAAATTAATCTAACCAGTCGTCATATAAACTATTACTTCTACAAGAACAACAACAATATCAAGATTTGAGCACGTTCTTGATCAAATCATATACACGTCTATATTGCATAACACAAAATACTGTATATTTTTATGCTACATAAACTAAGTGTCAATTATATATGATATGTGATTGATAACATTTAAAATTAGTCCATCAAATTAGTTTGACTTTTTTGAATTTGTGTTTAAATTGAAACTTGTATAGATTTATAAATTTTTAATACAAATATTTAATTATTTTCGTTATTATTAACATATATAATTTTAGATTTAACCTTTCTCTTTATATCTAACTCGTATCATATTAACTTTTATTTTATTATATTCACCAAACCTCAATTTTGGATATACTACGTCTAATTTTAAATATAAGATCCTTTTAACTACTTCACAATAATTAAAAGAAGTAATTAATTTGTTAATAACATGGAATTTATCAACAATTTGAATATTTTCAAAATAATATAATATTTAAGAGGGCCTGAGATAATATTCTGATAGTTAAGAAATATCATATGCATGCAAATATACCAACTAAGAGAGACGAGTACAATAACAAAAATAATAAATCACAGGATATAAATATATTAATCCAAATTATTTTCCAAGGTGACATGTTCAGCTTTAATCGTTGAACGATGAGAACTACTGCATTATTCTGCATATTAAGTTAGTAACACTTGTCACACAACTGTTTGCTATGTTCTTGTCCTACTTTTCAACTCTCGAAAGCCAATTGCACTTTTATTTTAAAATCCTCATGACATCGATGTATGACTTTCCTTGCAGCTCGCGTGAAAAGTATCCTTTGTAGAAATCTTCTACGCTAATGCTATTGAACATTGCAGGTCTTTCAGGAGTGATGAGGCTTTTTGATGGATGTATAACTGCGTTTAATCTAAGGCTATGAAATGCAGCAATAGAAATCCTCTCTTTCTCTGAGTTAACTGTGGCTCTATGTTCGATGCTCCGATAAATTCCATTAGTCATTATCTGCCAAATTAAACCACTTAGGATATATACCAAAAATCTTCAAATAAAAATATAGAGTGATGCATATTCTAATTTGTTTTATTCTTTTATTGTTGTAAAAATTCTTAAATAACACATGATATATAGATTTGTTAATTAATAGATATGAATATGTTCAAGTTACCTCCAACATGTCTCCAACATTAATGACAAAAGCATTAGAGAGGGGTTTGATAGGAATCCACATTCCATCTTTTTTTATTTGTAGCCCTTCCATTTCATTGGCTTGGAGAAGGATGGTAAGGGCACCAGCATCAGAATGAGGATTGAGTCCAATAACTTGGTCTGGTTGAGGACATGGAGGATAATAATTCATCCTCATAGCTTGGCCTCCCTCTTCAAAAAACTCTAGTAATTCATTGGGCTGAATCTTAAGAGCTTTTGTCATAAACCCAATCATTGTAACACAAAGTTTTTTTAATTCTAAAGAATATTTCTCTAGATTATCTCTGCAATAAATTGCAAAATAGAAGTTCTTGAGTCATCTAGAAAATCAATGGTGTTGAAGTTAGTGTGCTTAGAAACACATACAAAGAAAAAGAGGGGAGACAAACCTGAATGATTGGGGAATGCTAGGAAATAAGTGGGGATGTCTTATGTACGATGGAAGAGTGACAATATAGAACAAATCTGCCCATTCTAATTTGTGTTCCTCTGATACAACAAACATCTGACCAAATCCCTCCAATTCTCCTTGTTTTTGCCAAAATGCCTTCTTATCTTCCATTGGAAGATTGAAGAATTCTTGAACATCTTTCTTCATACTTTCCACCAACGATGGATTCACTCCATGATTGATCAGCTGTCATTAATTACCATAATAAAAACTTAACAAGTAAATACAAGCAAATTCCTTCTTTGAAAAATATCTACTGTTACGCATCAATTTCTTTAATTATGACATATAAATTGAGGCTAGAATGAACTGCAATCATAAGGCATTTTATTGAGGATTTAATTTGAATACACATAATCAGTTTAAAAAAGAAATATAGACTAATATACACTATATTATTATTACATCATTAATCATGTTATATACACATAAATAATCAAAATTAGACCGATTAGTTATAATTGACCTGATATAATTATTAATCTCAATTATATGGTGACATGATTGTAAATTATACCATTATTCATTCTGTCAAAATTACAACATATTTCAACCGCAATTTAACTTTACACGGTTGCATATATCTGATCACTCTTTCTTCCCTCAAATTTCTTGTAACCGACACTTATAATCTGATTTTACTAATCATTGCCTTTAATAAAAAATTAACAAGTAAAAATATAAAAAGCAAAATTGAGCTTAATTCACTCTCAAGAACAGAAGAGGACTGTACAAGCCTAAGAAAAAGTATTTTATCTCTATTCCTATGAAAAAACAAAATTATATTGAATGAGTGAGAAATATCATGAAGGAAAATAGAGTGTAATCCAAACCTGAAAGAAACCCCATTCTTTGCATGCATGATCTAGCTTCTGTAGTTCAGCTGCATCTTCAGAGCACAATTTGTTAAGGTCGATAACTGGGAGTTGGGGTAACGGTGTTGTGTTATATTCAATAGGAGGGTCTTGATTTGGACGAAGATATCTTTGTGGAACTTGGGTGATGGGTTGCTTTGCTAACTCCAGAACAGAAGGCACATGGAGAGTGGTCCCTAACTTCTTCACCATTTCTGGATCCATAGCTGCAAAATAACTCCAGTTAACTAGCTAGATATTTGTCAATCCTCTTTCTTGGACTAGTTTGAATGGAGATACTATATATAATCATTATATATACAAGACATTTCGAACTTACACTAAAAAATAAAAGAAATGACTAAATATTTTCTAAAAAATTTAATTTATTTTAATAAAATTTTATCATTAAATAGTCATCATTTAAAAAAAAATTAAATAACCTCAAATTTAGAAGTAATCATCAACGCGGGACGGGAGTGAAATAACATGATTCTTGGGATACATCGTCTCAACCTATAAACATTCTCTGAAAAGACATAACATAGATTTCCCATTTAATAAACTCAGAGCTTGCAGCCATATAAGAAAATCTACACTTCTGCGTGATCATATTTTAAGGATTTAAATTTGATTTTTCATACATACGAATTTCATGTGGCTAATATAATTTTCGCGTGGTCAGCAGCAAAAGTTGAAAGTGTATAGTCGTGGCTTTACATTAGAGGAGCAAATTAGAGTCTTGGACTCGCCATGTTTGTAGATAAATAAGTTAGATTAAGCTAGCCTTTGAAGAAGTGCTTTTCATCTAATTAATAATTTATGTTATAAGCTTTTTTATTAATTTTTTTTTAATAAACTACTTGGTATTGAGTTTGATTAAACATTTTACTTTGGACTATTTTTAAGGCTTCACCCTGTCTGGGTAACGATGAACATTGAATAGTTGTTTCTCTCTTGTCCTGCTTTTGGATTGCCCCTGCCACTTTCACTGATGCAATTTTTATTAGGATTATCTCTTTTGACTTCACTTTTTAGAATTGAATTTAAACGCTAAGGTTTAAAAGTAAAAAGTTTTTATTTTAAAAAATACATTAATTATATTAAGGTTATATTAGTGTGATAATTTCTTTTTCAATAAAATCCTATAATTATTAATTATTTAAACTTAACCTGAAAAATTAAGATTAACAATTTTCATTATAGTAAGGCAGTGTTATTTTGCTGCTGGAACTCTGCATGGTCGAGGGTGTTTAGAACATACATTTTTTGGGAGCGGGTGCTACTATTGCAACATAAGAAGATTATTCAGAATTGGGTTATGGGCGAAGCTGTGGATCAAATTGTGCTCTTTCAACTCTGTTCTTTTCATTAAGGGTATTTGTTGGATTGCTCAAGGATTGTAGGAGAGTGGCTCTTCTACTTTTACTTGTGCACTTTTAGGCCCAACTATCTCTTGTAGTTAGCCTTCCATTTTATTGTAATGAATTTTGGCTTTAAAAAAAATATAGAACTTTGACTTGAGTCAACTAAATAAGTTTCATCCAGTATCTAATAAGTTAAACTAAAATATTTCAAGTCATTACCCCATACATTTTACTAAGAACTCAGAATCTTTTAGACACAATAGTTACATCAATTTGATGTTCAGGAGCTAAAACTGGCATCTATATGGCAAAAATGTTGTATCCCGGCTATGCTGGAGATTGATATTACAAGGAACTGAATTTTAGAAAGTGGGTGAATGCATGTCCAACATATTCAATCATTGCAATCCCCTCAAAATAGCGCACACTCCATTTGACCTTATTGTTAGTTCTGCATCATGTTCAAAAGATCTGTAACACAAATATGTAATAAAGAGGAGTCATATTGATATTGATAAGGAGGAAAAAATAATTGTTATTACCTGCATTTGAGTACAGATTTCAATGACTTCAGCTAGAGGTGCCCAATCACCAAAGTTCCTCTCTATAAATTGGTAAGCAATGCCACTCTTTCCACTCCCTACAATATAGAGTCCACCTTTTATTTCACCTTCACCCTTGAAATTGTATTCAATTTGCATGTCTTTTGCACGCTTGTAGTTGGAAAGTGCTCTAGGATTCAGCAAAAATCCCGATAGGAACTTCTCCTTGAGCAATTTTCCCCCTCCAAGAGCTTTATAGAAGTCCCTACCTCGATCAAGAAGTACAACACCACCCCAGTATCGAGGCCAGAAATTTTTTACCTGCTTTTACCATTATGATAAGTCAAGCCATGAACGGTTCAATCAAAGAACATGAAGTTGAAATTTGCTAGTACCTCTGACTCAATGTGCTCATGGAGAACAGCAAATAGTTGAACTCCAAGTGCATCAAATATGGGTTTTCTGCAATATAACTGGTGTGCCTCAGCTCTACACATGATGCACCTGTTTTCAAATTCAAGGTACGTAAATGGAAACATGCTTCATTATAAAACCCTCTTAAGTTATGTGCAAGTGATGGAAAGAGAGGGAGAGACATTTAAATATGCAAAAGGTGAGGTTTTTATAGGCTTCAGAACTTATATATTGTTATATTTCTTTGTGCGCGTTTTTTGTTATCTTGTTGCTTGATAATAATGGCCTTGTACACATAAGACTTATGAAGGCACACATGAGTGAACTCGTGCAAGTTTATTATAAGAGCATGATTAAAGGAAATGTATTGTTTGAATACATGCCAAATTGGCAATTTTGAAGTGTATATACTCCCACCATCTCATTTTAATTTTTTATTTATCTCAAATTATTTGCTACTTTAGAACAGTAGGAATGTATTAATTTTTTTTTTTGTGAATACTTTTTTTTATTAGGAGTAATTTTAACCATTACAATAAACTTCAATATTACTTGAGAATTAATTCTTACTAACTGAACATTACAATAATTTTAGTACTTTTAATAGAAGAATTTTAGTGAAATTAATTTATTTTATTATAGTAGTGAGTAAAATTATTTTTTTATCTGCACATTAATACTAAGTGACATTTAAAACGAGGCAGAGGGAGTAACAATTTACCCTGGTCTTCGGAGACACAAGAAAATAGCTGGTTTATCTCGCCATAGTTCTGAAGCCTTCAATGGAGGTGCCTTGGATTTTACCAAAGGTTCCATGCCAATCTTATACTCTGGAGTTAGTTTCTGAACTGAAATATTCTCAATAGCACTATATGGAGCAACTTGGTCACTAATAGGAGGTGGATTCACACAGCCACATGCCCTTGGCTCAGCTGGCTCAGCAGCTACAATCCCTTTAAAGGCATGCCCATCTTTAATATTCATTTCAACTATTTCTTGTTCAAGTGATCTATCAAAAGCTGCACTAGTTCTTACATGTGACCTTGTCATGCTATTAGAGTTATTAGAAGCAACACTTTTGGGTATGCTATCATCTCTATACATCATGCTGGTTCTTTTTCTAGCAGCAATTGCAGCTAATTTAAAAGAATCACCATATCTTGTTCTGTTTATAAAACGGGCAATGTGGCCTCTCTTCATTTCAAATCGGGAAGCGAGATCCATAGTGCTTAAATTGAGAAGCTCTTGCAGATTTCTCCCATAGTCCTCCATCTTCTCTGCATATTGCATTAACCTACGATCATGCAGGTATGACCTGATTCCGAGTGCATCCTATAACATAAGAAACATATTCAAAGAAAGGTTTAAATATGTTTTGAAGTCTTCATCAATATGATTGAATTTGGTTTTCATACTCTAATATGCTTTTAATGATTAAATATGTTCTTTTTATGTTCTTATTTTTTATAAGTTTTAAAATTTCAAAACTAGGTTTTATTATTATTTAATAATAACGTGGCATATATTTAAATATATCACATTTGCAACTATTATGAAGTGAGATATGACATAATATATTTAGATATATGTTATGTTACCAATAAGTGGTGATAAGAAATATTTTTGAAATTTTTAACGGTCAAAACTAATATAAAATAAAGAAAAATTAAAATTAAAATAAAAATAAATTGTATTTATAAGAATCACATAGATATTTTAGCCTTTATAGTGTTATCTCAAGTGGACTAGTTATCTGATAAATGATAGAAGTTTCATTCGTAAGTGAATTATGATTGAATGATAAAATGATGTGATAAAAGACTTGAATAAAAACAATAATGAGGACCACCTTTTGCTTTTGTGTCATGTGTAGTAAATCCATGTCCTCTGAACTCATAATCTTCAGGGTTGGTACATCATCCCACCCTTCTTCCAACAACTTTTGGAACAGTTCCTTCAAAATTCCATTTCCAATGAATTCTTCCACCGAAAAAGAAGCCATTCTTTTCTTGCTATGAATTATGGTTGGTTGCCCTGGATGATTGATAATCTTGTCATATGAATGTGATTAAATGGGTAGACAAACTTGTTGCTCAGGCAAAAGTACCAAGCACTTTATATATAAGCCCTTCCTAGATAATAATATTTGTTATGTCTTTAGTTAATGATGTAACAATGCGGTTCAATTTTTTTATGAAGCTAACGAATCCATTTATCTTGCCGTATTCAATTTATCTATTACAAATTGGGGGAAAAACATGTTTTTTTCTTTGTATTTATAGTTTCTAATTGTTTTGAAAAAAAAAAGGTGAGCAAATGAATTGTGTGTGAATGCCCTCATATCGTTGGTTTAACGCCATGTCTCGTTTGCACAAATTCTAGTCTACATAGCATGACGTTACAGCCAATATAGAAGCAAAAACAAAACTAAAACTATGAAATTGGTTAGGGACTGCAAAAGATAACAAAAAACCAAAAACCTGGGAGAACAATTCGATGTTTAAAATCAGAGAAAGAAGTTCCGGCCTATTAACTTCAACTAACATTTGACTTGGTTCAGAGGAATAGTCCAAAATTGGACGTGCATTTAGCAACTGCAATAATAGCTTGATGGCTCAAAATTGTTTATTTGCCGGCCGAAATCTGCTTTAATAGTCTTGGAAATTGTCAATTGCGCATGCTTGTTTCTCATTGATCCGTAGCTAAAAATTATTAACTATCATTTAATTATAAATTAAAGTATCACTAAAAATTTGACCTAAGATTTTGTATGTTATTGGAAACAACTAATTTATCAGCATGAAGTGCCAAAAAATAAACAGTTTACAGTGATAATGGATTTTAGAATTATTTGAAAGATGGAAACAGTTAATCACATGGTATGAAAGAAACCATTCTGGGTAACTGCAGTGCTGTCCCCAAATCAGTGATGTGTACACTACAAAATTTGAGTTACTAAACTAGTAGTGCCGGGTGGTATGACAGGAGATTCTAATTTTTTGTAGTTAGAGAGGCCGTGATTGAAGTATACAACTTCTTAAAGCATAAGTCAGGATCATCAAGTAAATTCACATAACCAGGTGAATCAGCATCTACACATTGAGACAATCACATAATTAACATCGAGGTCTCAACTCCTTTTGCTTTGGCATGCTGTTAACCTTGTTAATTAGAGTTAGCAGCATATCTAAACTCTGTTAATTATTTTTTATACTGGCTTTATTTCATTTGGGAGAGTGGTACAAGGAAATTAACTGCTATAATGATGGGCTAAATGTTATTAAACCCCAACCAGAACAAGAGGTGTGAAGAGTTAGTTAAAAGGTACAGCTAGCAGGTTGGAGGACGTATATTCAGTTTTTCCTTATGCTTAGGCTGAACTTGGAGAATTCTCTCCACTGCTCTTATCTTTCAATAATCGCATTTGAATTTTTTCAATAAACTCATGCTTTTCAAGATTATGACTACGCTGGTTTGCTTCTTGGGTTAATTTGCAGCTTGTGTTATGATATTATTCAAACATCATCACTCTAAGAGATGCCTTTACAAGTCTTCATGATGACTTGGGCCAATGCATGGATGCTTCTTGATAGTGGCCATGCCCGTAACAGCCCCATAATAAATTGTCACTCCAAACACAAGGGTTAGTCCAGGCAAAGTAAAATAGAATTCTGTCTATTGTTTTAAGAAGTTAAACATTTCAGAAGAGTGAGTGAATCAAATAAGCGGCAGTAACTCGATGCAAAAGGTTACTTCAACTTGAATTGTGATCCATGACAAGGGAGAATAAGAGAGATCGTGTCATCTCAGCCACATGAAAGATTCAAGACCTTAAAAAAATGATACAATGACACGACTATGGAGTAACAAAAATTTGCCCACCTACGAACACTAGATCTGAATTTCATTTGGAAGGGCCCCCAGAGGATTGCCTCTTAAGGCACTCACAATTCTATATTGATCTGACAAATTTTCTTCAGTAGCACGAAATCATAAGAAAATTCAGTCTCCCTTTCCTTTCTCAACTTTGTATGCATTATGTCCTATAATGCCAAATATTTAAATTTATGCCGAGGGCATTGCACGCCTAATCAGTTGTCCAAGGATCATTTTCTGCTATGACTTCAGAAGGTTCATAGACTTCTGGCTCTGTAGCTTCTTCACCTGTGCTTGAATCAGCTTCAACAGATGGAGATGCATCTCCCTCCTCTTCCGATCTGCCCCATCTTCCTCCGACGGCCAAGGCCATCATTTCATAAATCTTATTTCCCAATTCAGCAGGGCTATCCGGCTGCATTACCAACAAACGACTATGTCAAGCAAAACTACAGGTGGTCTACATATTTTACATGAATTAAAAATAAATCTTTATATTGTGCTTACAGAAAATCCACTAGAAATTAGTGCTGTATCATATAAGAGGTCAACAGCTCTCTTGGCTTCACTGCTGTCAGGTGCATTCTTACAGGCAGCCTGAAAGAAAAATTAAATAATTAAAAAATAGCTCAAAGTCGCAAGCAAATTCGGTTATAAGTACCAGCCATGTATCATGTCCTGAAATTCCTCCTTTCAACTGCTATATACCCTTAAATATGAGTGAAATATCAGACATGAGCGCATGACCCAATAATACATGTCCACCGATTGTTTTGAATTTTGATATTTCAAATAACACACAATCTCTAACATAAAAGCAAATATATTGCCTTGTTAAAGCTGAAGAGATAGGCAACGCATTAGGGGGCTGGGAAGATCAACAATTTATTTTGCTTTATAATATTGTTATTGCAAGGCTCATCAGCTGACATTTGTCTTCAACATTTTAAGAAACAAGTATCAAAACCCAGCCAAAGTACTTAGGCAAGCTACAATATTCAATGAGCTTGAATGTTGCAGCGTTTCGTGATAAATGAACTAGAGCAAACTTTATGCTGTCTTAGACTAGTACTCTAAGATTGTCTTTTCTTTTTCCCCCTAACTGTAGAAGAACTGAGTAACAAATACTTTCGACAGCAATTTTCTTCAATTATTTTCAAACGTTTTGTCTCCTTTCTACTTGGCTGACATGACTTAAAAGGAAAAGAAACCAATCATTATTAACAATAATTAGTTAATTACCCACTAAGTAGACTCAACAGCCACACAAATGCAATCGAATGCTTGTTACACAAAAATGATAAAACCAATTTGGACAAGATGCTCACCTTGCTAAAGTGTTTCATGTTTCTACATGAAACAAAAATATCATATCATATATTTAGAATTCAGAACAATTTATCTCCTGATTATTTTTTCAGTCAATTCAAAACAACATTTACAACTTGTCATCTTCTCTCAATCTACCCATCCTCATCATGTCATTGGCTAGGAAGTAAGTGTTTGTGTTTTGTGTGCCAACTATCAGAAAACTTACTAAAAACAAATTACTGTTCATAAAGCAATAAACTCCTTACTAATAATGTCAACTTACACTTAAGTCCTTGATAATGGGATGATCTGTATTAATTTCTAATATTCTCCTCCCTCTCATGAACTCCAAACTTGAAGTGTCTCCAAGAGCTTGCGCCTTCATTAATCTGAAGATATGGGAATTAAAGATATTATAAGCTTTATGTCATGAGAATGGTAAATTGCTTGTCATCCAAGAGCACAGCCAGTAAAGCCAATGACTAACCTCTCCATATTTGCAGACCAACCAAACTTCCCAGATACAAGCACACAGGGAGATGAGCTCAAGCGCTTAGAGATTTGAACTTTTGCCACCTTGTCACCAAGCTGTTGTTTTATCCAGTCACAAAGTAGGTTGTATTCTTGCTTGATTTCCCGCTCCTTGACCTCATCTTCATCACCTGATTTGAGAAAACATTATGAGAACTCAATAACAATTTCCAGGAAACAAGATAGCATTTAAAGCATTTGAAAAGCAAGGTAGAAACCAGTACAAACCTAATTCCAAATCCTCCTTGCTAATATCAACAAATTTCTTTTCTTTGTATGTCTGTAGGTTCTGAATGGCAACCTCATCAATAGGTTCAACCAAATAAAGAACCTATGATAATACACACATTAGTAAAGAGTGAAAAATTTAAAAGAAAAAACAGAATTCAAACTTAACATCTGATAGATATATCAAGCATGCCAACCAAAACATGCATGCACACACATGTACACAGCCTCACCCACACAAACTCAAATTACCAGAAAATATTATGTTAACAACTAGACTAGACAAACCTCAATATCTTTTTGAACCAATTTCTCCAAAAATGGAGCAGTCTTTGCACTTTTCAAGCTATCAGATGCTAGGTAAAAGATAGCCTTTTGGTTTTCACCCATGTTTTCAACATAATCATCTAGGCTTTTAACTTCCTCCTCACTTTTGGAAGTGTAAAACCTCAATAGTGGTGTTATGCGCTTATGATTTCCACTGTCTTCAATGCATCCTAACTTCATGAACCTACCAAAGTTCTCCCAAAATTTCTTGTAGTCCTGGAATCACAAGAAACAATCTTTTCAACTCATAAAGACACTAAATCATATTGGAAATATAAAGATGCTCAGTATATTGCTACCAACCTCTTTATTTTCACTTTCAGCAATGTCTTGAATCATATCAAATGCCTTCCTGACAAGTCTCTTTCTCATTATTCTTACCTGAAATTATAATATGGCTTGGAGTCAAACATTTTGGAAAGTAAGAGTAAAAGGAAATGCATAAATGATTCCTATCACCATATCCTTCAGTCACATTCATCAAATGGGATAAATTATTCATGTTAGCACTAAAATATATAGTTCTCTTACAATTCTACTTTCTTGAAGGATCTCACGAGAAACATTGAGTGGAAGATCATTTGAATCAACCACACCCTTCACAAAGCTCAAGTAACGTGGAAACTGCAAAATATATAAACAAGTAATAAAATTAAACCAAAGGGCACTTGAGAAAGGAATAGAATAGAACAAAACATTAAAAAAAATACAAGGTCTAGCTTATGTCATTTGTGCTTTTCAATACTTCTTGCTCTCTTCTTTCTTTGATAGATGAGAAGATTGACCAAAAAAAGGAGTAAGAGCCAAAATAAGTATAAAGTACATATCACACCTCAGAGCTTGTACAGGATTTGTTAATGCAGATTGTACATAATGACTTGTGATATGATATAATATGATTAAAATTGTTCAGACATCTGGATAAATCATTTTTCTATCACAACTAGGCATGAGTAGGAGATCTATCTGGACTTACAATGGTTATCCTATTCATCTCCCTATTAATCACAAGTTTTAAGACAGAGCAAAGACTTGACATTTGTCCTTCATTCATAATAATAATAATAATAATAATAATAATAATATAAAAGCAGCAGTATCATAAAAATCAAATTATATACACAACAAATTCCAATTTGAAGTCCACAACAAACTCACCAGCTCCCCATCAAAATCATCTGAGATGAAAACACGCTTAACATACAGGCGTATGTTCTTTGTTTTAGGGTTCACAACTTCTTCATTGTTTAGAGGTCCCATTCCTGGAACATACAGAATACTTCTGAACTCAACCTCACCCTGCACAGTTTAAAGCCAAGTCAAAAGATAAATGCCAAAAGAAAATGTTCTTCTAAGAGCCAAAATAATCAACATACCTCTGTAGTGAAGTGAGTATATGCAAGTGGTTCTAAGAATTCATTAAAAGCCTTCTTGTAGAATTCATTGTACTCATCTTTTTGGACTTCCTTTGGGTTTCGCATCTGCAAAAAGGGTCACGGTTAGACAAGAAAAAGAGGCACACAACTTAATAATAAGCAAAATATATGTAGCTCTAACTCACCCATATTGGCTTTGTCTCATTGGCTAATTCCCAGTCCCAATACTTTTCAGTTTTAGATTTTTTCACTTTCTTTTTCTCACCCTGATAACAAGAGCAGAAACAGACTAATTTGGTGTTGACATTAAGGAAAAGCATATACAACACTCATTCAGAATTAACATTCTAGTTACCTCTGGTGGTGGTTCCTCGCCTTCTTTGGGCTCTTCCTCCTCTTCCACCTGCCAATACTCAAATTCATTAATTAACACAAATCAGAGCTGATTCATTTGTCACTCCATGACAAATACTGCTTCTATATGCTGCTGCAGTCATTTCAAACATACAGAATGAGGATCTAGACAAAACGAAATCACCCTAAATGTAACATACTGCTGTTCGAATAAATGCTTTATGACATTGCTTCAGAAAATTTCCATTGTTTGACATAACATTATCCACAACATAGTTTTGATTCTATAGAAAGGAAATGTGAAAAGGGCAAACAGTTGCTCCCTTGATGGAAACAAATTAAAAAAAAAAAAACACATTTCTTCAACTATCACTTAAGACTTGATTATAACCATCTCCGATATTTGTTATTAAACCCCACATACATAATAACCAACATTAATCCTGCCCATCCTTGAACTTCCAGGACAATATAGCCCAATATTTTCTCATTTATCAAAACTCAGCAGCTGTCTAACCCTCAAAAGTAACTAGCCAACTAAAGGGGATGGAAACCATAACTGATGTAGAACAAATTTACCTTAAATACAAACACCGAATAACAAGAAATCATTTCAAGTTTACTTTGTAAACCTGATGATAAGAAAATCATTATTATTCCCATCATGTGGTAAGAATCTAATTACTCATTGTCATCATCACTGCTAAAAATCAATTCCCAAAATCACAATATCATGAGTAGTTCCCAAATGATAGAATCTGATTAATAGGATCACACTGCTATATAGGTAACACTCATATCATTCCTTCTAACAAAAAAAAATAAAAATACTGTATACAAAACATGTATATTTTGTTCACAATGAAAAGAGCAGAAGGGGAAAATCAGAGTCCACCTATGCATTTCATTCACAATGAAAAGAGAAGAAGAGGGAAAGCAAAGTCCAAAAATCAATACACTACCACGTGTAGGAATTATTCAAGTAATTACCAACCAACATGATGACAAAAATGTAACAAGAAAGCCTGCTTACCTCTACAGTTCTTGATTTTTCTTGCCAAGTATATATGGGGAATGAAACAAACTGTGAATAATTTTTCACCAAACCCTGAATCCTGGTGGGCTCTGAGAATTCATACTTGTCATCCGACTGGACAGAAAAAAAAAAATGGTTGCTTTAACTACATATCTGCACTAAAAGGTATCTTACAGTTTCCAAATATTACACTGGGTTCAATCTTTTATTAAAAGGCAATAATAAATGAGTAATTAAAGCAGAATTTTTTTATACAATTTTAAGTATTATACTTTAAAAATTTTAGTTGTCATCAGAATGAACAAAAAACAAACTGGTTTTGGGTGCTTGAACTACATGCCTGCATTAAAAAGATTCTTATAATTTCCAAGTGTTATTCTGAGCTCAACTCTTTTATTAAAAGACTTAAAAAAATGTGTAAAGATTTTCAGTTGAAATTTAAAATGTTTTAAGACCTTCCAGTAAAAATGAGATCTCCCTCATCCACCGGTTTACTTCAGATGCTATCTTGGACACAGGAAGTAATCAAGCACCACATCAAACAAAAGTCAGTGTGATGATAGTACTTCTTACATCACATGCACACTTTCCACTAGAGAAATGAACTAAATAGCACTCACTCTTAAATAGAGTGTAATCTGGGTACCACGACGCAGAAGCTTTTCAGGATCAGTTTCTTCCCTTATCGTATAAGAGCTACTATCTGCTACAGATTCCCACACATATTGCTTATCTGATCTTGGGCTCTTTGTAGAAACAACCACCTGATTGTCATAAACATGCAAATATAGCCAATTAATTACATAAAATCAGAAAAATCAACCAAGAGCATACACTTAAAAAAATCCACTCCATACCCTATCAGCAACAAGAAAAGCAGAGTAGAAACCAACACCAAATTGACCAATCAAACCATTATCTGCTCCTAGATCCTTGTTTTCCTGAAAGATCGAGGGGAAAATTTAATACATGATTATTGAAGCTTTGAATTATCAAAGTATCAAAGAGTGATATATCTTATGAATAACAAATTACCTTAAGTGCCTTCAAAAATTTTGAAGTACCACTCTGTGCAATAGTTCCAAGACAATCAATGAGCTCTTCTTTGGTCATTCCAATACCAGTATCTCTACAGAATCAAGAGTTAACAGTTCAATACTCCAACTTAGACAAGGCCAGAAAAATTAAAAAAATAAAATAAAATTATTCATACGTTATAGTGATAGTTCCATTATCAGGATCAGGCTTGATGCGTATCTCCAGATCCCCAGCATCTCCAAGCAAAGAAGGCTCAGTCACGCTTAAGAATCTCAACTTGTCCAAAGCATCGCTAGCATTACTGAAAGACTCAAAAAAATCAAATAAATTAATAAAACAGTGTAAAATATGGATGCAAAGGTCCAAGAGGGAAAAAACAGCTTGTGCCCACTAAAGCAACTTTCCATTAACATGTGAGCCATCCATACAACAAAGTCAAGTCAGAGTGACAAAAGCACAAATCATTCAATCATGGAAACATCATTCTTCAGATTACCTCACAAGTTCACGTAGGAAAACTTCCTTATGGCTATACAGACTGTGAACAATCAAATCCAACAGTCGACTCACCTGCAAAAAGTAGAATTCACTTCCTATCAGTAAAAAAAATTAAATTTACACACTTTATATGAAGCAAGCAAGCCTTCAACTTCACTTCCAATTACATGTCAAAATTCCAAACCAAGTGCACCAATTTTTGTCATGGAATTCACTTCCTTCACTAAATCTCTGTCTCCTCTCTCTCTCTCTCTCTCTCTCTCTCTCTCTCTAACACACACACACACACACATACACACTACGTTCACTTTCAATTACATGAGGAAATTTCACGTGAAGTGCATAAAAGGTTGAAACTTTAACACGGTAAAGGCCCAGAAACGGTGGCACAGAAGTGCAAAAAAGTTTAAAATTTGATAAATCGATTGAAACCCCACCTCGGCTTGGTACTCAAACTTCTCGCCAGAGGCCTCTTCTTTCTCCGCCACCGCAGCCTCACATCGCACGGCGAGCCTGCTCCTTCTCTCGCGCTGCTTCCACTTCAACCCCGCGGCGGCGGAGAAGCAGTTTCCGCGACCGACTTGCGGCGGCAGAAAAGCGCTTCTGAGAAGGGAAGGCCTCGCCAAAGGGGAAGAAGAAGGGAGCGAGGCGAGAGAGGCAGTGGCCAAGCTTCTGCTCAGTACAGGAGCCATTGTTATCAACGCAAGAGAGAAAGAGTGTGTTTATGTGATATGTTATCCGTTGTGCTTTTTCCTTTTCGAGTGGAAATGGAAAGTGAAAAGGAAAAGGAAAAACCCTTGCTTGGAAGAAAGGGTTTATGGGGTTTTATTGTGAGAAGAGCAGAGATGGTTCTAGAAATACGCCGCAGTGTTTGGCTCTATTTGTGTCGGATTGTAAGGCCTAGATTCTCCCAATTCAGCCACATTACCATATCCATTTTCATTCCCTATTTTTCTCTTATGGAGAATGAGGCAAACCCCCCAAATAAACAAGGGCCTCTCCAAAAATTAACACCACATTATATGCCCAAAAAGAATACAACCAAAATTATGAAGAACATCGGTAAAAAAATCAAATAATAATATCTCTTTAATTCCCACGGATTTATATTTATTTCTTTACATTTTAACTTTTAAAGGACAAACAGCTTTTTAATTTAATCAAAAATATTAACAATAGAATAACTTTTATATTATTATCTAACCATAAATTATGATAGTATACAGTTTTTGCTTAAACTTAAGACACTGTTGATTACTTATCTAGAGTGAAGTGAAACTTCTTCCTCTTCAAGGCTTCCACATTGTCTAAATATAACATACTCTGCCTTAAGAAGTTAAGAAAATTGTTATTAGAAATATCTTATTAAAAAGATAACACTTACCTGTAATACATTTAAAAAATTATTGTCTTTAATTTTGGCAATGATTTTTGGACTTTTAACAACAACTTTTTTATTATTGTCATAGATAAAAAAAAATGTGGTAGTGTTGGTCCTCCACTCAAATACATGGTTTTGCCATGTATGTTTTTTTTTTTTCAAGTCACACAAGTAGTCACAAACACAATGCAACCTTATATGCTGCAAAACATATGTAAAATCTCTCAAAAAAAATAGTTCATCCCCAACTTCACAATCAATAATAATAATTGTGTTGTTTAGATTTTCACCCTAAGTTATTCTACCTAGCTCCTTCAATAATGGGATTGCTCACATATAGCCTCTTCAATCATTAAAGAATATTTTTTTGCCCTATAGACAATTTAATCTCTCACTGCACTTATCTTTTGTTTCTCTAATAATCCCTTTATTCATGTTTGGACTATGCCTCAGTGTAAAGATTAATTTCTTAGACAGTCATCTTATGACAGACGAAGTGTCATTAAGACTCATAACTTGCAACTTTTCGTATAATTAAGGTTGACTTCAAAATCTTTAAATAAAGTGGGCAACTTGCATATATTTAGTAATCATTATTTTTTGTCATTTTTTTTCCAATTGAATCCTTATCTTATCTTACAATCTCCTAATGCTATGTTTGTAGGAGAGATGCAGTAAAGAAAGAAAACATTAAAGAAAAAAATAGAATGGATAGAAATAAAATAACAAAGATATGTTATTAGAATAAATAGAAATAAGAGTAAAAAGTAAAATAAATTTAATTTATTTGAATGGATGAAGAAAAATAGAGATAGAATTTTTTTGGGTCTCACCACAAAAACAAATCCAAAAACCAATTCGAGGAGAAGTAATTAAAGAGGAAAAGAAGGGGGAGAGAGAAACATATTGGCAAGGTTGTTTTGTTTTCAATTTTAATTTTGATTTTTAAAAATATTAATAAAAAAATTAAATTAAATTAATTTTTTATAAATATTTTTAATATAATTATTTCTTTTTACTTTTATTTAGTCACCCAAATAAGCGGATGGAACTTTTTATCATTTCCTTCTTTTTTATTTATTTATTTTCTCTATTCTAACTACATTTCTTTCTTCTGGATCTCTTTTCTCTCTGTTTCATCTCTCAACCAAACGGAACTACAATAAAATTAGTCATTTCCATCCTTTCCCATTTTCATCTTTTCCATTTTAATGATACCAAACAAAGCATGAATATTGGAAACTTTTGTCTAGTTCCTTCTTCACATTCAATAAGTGGTGGAGTCCTAACTCATCTAAATCAACATCTTCCTTATCAAAATCATCAAATGCAGTAGGATTCTCATTTCTTGATGACTTAGCAACTCCAATCCCATATTCTACAACAAAATCATAATCATTCTAAAAATCCCTTAGCATAAGGAGGTGTGAGTTTTCTATTAGCGTGTGGATTTCAAGTTTCTTCATGCAATACATTTGTTGATTCTCAATTTGTATCAAAATCATTGTTATCAAATGAAGCGTAGCTATTATTATCTACTTTGTCTTTCAACTTTCCAACATAATCTTGGTCATCTTTAACCATTGGTTCCTCCTCAACACCTGCCCCATTTTCACTATCGATGTCAACTACTTTCACTGCTGCTTTAATTCCTCTCATATTCCTCTCATATCAAAATTTGTTTCACTAAACACAAGTATATTAATAAGTGCTCAATAATAATAAAAAAAAAATCTGAGGTTAGCCCTTAATAATATCATTTGAAAACTTTAGTACAACCATATAATTGTTCACGGGCCTAAATCCCTCTTTCAAGTCATATTTGGGATGCTTGTACCACAAGCATTTGAAATAGGCATACCAAGAGTTAATTTATCATTTTCATCAACTCAATCTAGTAAATCTTGTCTATGTCTCATTCCCTTCTCTCCTTAAAAGGACATCCAAACAAAGCCTAAAAGGATCCACAATATGGCTAGAAGGATGGCACGTATGGGAATGGATTAGTTTTGAGAAATAATTGCATTTTTATATTAAATTTTCCCAAAAAGCTCTCTTACGATGTTAACGTTGGCTATTTCTACAAAATAAGCTGAAAACACACACACACACACACTAAAAGTGACCCGTATTGATTTAGGGTTAGCTGAGGTAGCAGCAGTTAGCATTTTAGGGAAATGATTCACGTGAGAAGGGCATTTAGGAGGCTGTGTGTGCATGGGAGATGGCAGTTATGAACATTGCAGTTTGTCTAAAGTGTATAAAAATGGGCAAAGAAATATTTTATCTGAGGAGTGCAGACTCTGGTCCTTCCTTTGTCATTGTCAAAGCACTTTGAGCTTTCTTTTGATTAAATAAAAAACTCTCTAAAATGAGGGCCCAATTCAGATGAACATCATTTGAGAGTAGACAACACTGTTTAAAATGTAAAAGCACATAACACCATAATGCAATAGCTTAATAGCTTATGTGTATAAATTACACAAGAAAAAAGTAACACATTCTATGATCCTGACAAAATTTCTGACTATTTTAGGATCACAAACTACATCTGTTTGGTCACTCATTTCGGTTAAAATGTAGGTAAGGTGGCCATTCCTGCATGCTCAATCATGATATATTGTAGTGTGCTTATGTTAATATTTGAATTTGAAACTGAATATTCTATATATTTTCATTCTCTGGAAATGATTACTAGTATTTATACAATAGCAGTCCCTAAAATAATCCCCTAACAGCAAACAGAACAGAACAAGATGATAGCAAACCTAATAATAACAGATTCACAATAACTACTATTTCAACTATTTAACACAATTAAGATTAATTGTTAGGAAGCATAAAAGTGGAACTGTGCTTATAATATTCTATCTTAAAAAGTATAGCCTTGAATGGGTTGCTTCATTTGGAACAGTTTATTCACTTTGTTTCTGTCCTTTCATCAATTGCTGAAAGGTAAGTGTGTATAGATTTAATAAAACCTGTATGTTTCTTCACCTAATATCTGGTTCTTAACTTTAAGCTTTCACAAATGAGTTGTTTTCCTTCCTTTTGTTTTTATGTATAAGAAATTTATGATTATTTATCTCCGTAACATTGGCAGCTGCTATGAAAACTTCTAATATTTTGGTAATAAAAATGCACTTTCTATTCTAATTCCTTTTCTTGTCATCTGAGTGATGGATTAAATTGAAGTTTTAACTACTTTATATAATAGTTTATGCTTTATTTTCTATATTTTAGGTATTGGGACACCAGGCTGTCAAATCCTGTGCATACTCAACAACTACCTGATCGTTGTTATGCCACGACAGTGAAACATCCTCTGATGATTGTGGAAACTGCAGATAGGAATCTGATTGTTTTCGACTTGCAAAACCCTCAGGTGATATTTTATTTTTCTAATGGCATGTCTGGTTCAGCTTAATCTTATGGAAATAATCATTTATTTTTCGAAAGCTCTCTTCGTAAACTGAAAGAAATAAGTGATTATTTCTCAAAAATAGCTGAAGCATGTACTAAAATAATTTTCCCAGTGTAGTCTCTTAAGCGATGAGTTGGCATTATAATGTAAATTATGATTTTAATACTTAATTAGGAGATGAATTTTCAACAAGATTCTATTATCACAGAGCAACATGGGTGCTAGTGTACAATTTTGCTACATCAAGCGATGAGTCTGTTTTTGCTCCATGCAAATGTAATGTGCAGTTTATATTTATGTAAAATACAAGAACTAGTATAACAAACTATGAACATTTCTATTAGCTTGGTAATGATGGACTATATGTCGTCCTATGCTGCCTGCTTTGTGGACTAAACGTACTAAAGGACAAACATTTTCTAACTCTTGTATTTCGATACGTATTAGTGGCCATAAAAAGTCTTCGGAAGTCACAAATTTCAATCCGAATTCTCTTTTGTCGTCGAAAATACACTGCTGATTATAATATTGTAAGTAGAATATGGAAGATTTTCCGCTGAAGAATAGGGAAATTAGAGTGTCTAAACTAGGGAGGCATGACCCTACATGGTATATCTCTTATCAAGATATATTAGGAACATATTTTTTTAAAAACTGAAATATATTAAAAATTATAAAATATTGATGAGACTCAATAATTAAGGACAGAATTCATATATAAATTTTAATTAATAGTAAATAGTTTATTTAAAAGTCCATTTGTCAACAGTTATGATTCTTTCATATCGTTTTTCTAATACCTATCCACATATCCTTATACATTGATCCAAAGAGTCATTTTATAATCTCTCTTTCTATCTATTTAGTAATTTAATATTTCGTAAAAGTGCAAGAAAAATATTACGTAGTATACCTTGTAGGAAAACACAGTCATATAAATTTTCAACGCTGTTATGCATAAAAAGACGTCTTTTGACCTCAATTTCTTCACTCGGGAAAAGGAAAACATATTCATTTTCTTTAGTTTTTCTTCCATTGGATTCCAGAAATCAGCACATACGTTACATTATACATATCCTGCTTGATCTATCAATTTTTACTATGCACACTCAATTTCGCCACTCTAATTATAAAATTAAAACCTAAAAGATTTCTAGAGTGTTGATATTGCTTACACTTATCGCAAGGCTTATCCCTGTGATAATTTTTAAAACTAATTTAAAATGTAGAGGATGGAACTAATTACATAAACTCTAAATAAAAGTAAATTTTATATAATTACAGTTAAGATGATACAGAATCGCTCTTTAATATTTATTTTAATGTAATAAATGAGTTCTTTGATTATAATTTCATTGGAATATGCTTTTTGAATTGAGTTATCTTGACTCGACTAATTCTCTATATTTAGGCCACTAAATATAAGAAAGTTTTAAGACAAAGGTTATGTATTAATAATGAGTAAAAGCCCTTATAAAAATTTAATTAATTATTGTAAAAAATATATAGATCCAAAGCAATGGAACCATGAAACAAAATTATAATATATCAATCTATTCAACACACATATGTTCCTACTATAAACACGGTTAACCTAGAGTCTAAGGTGAGCACAAAACTATTGATTTTAATATCTTTTTTAAATATGATTTCATTATTTGAACAATAAAAAATATGATATTATATATGATATTGAATATATTTTTTTAAAAAAATTTAAATCTTTTTTCATATACACCTAAACCAAAAATACACTAAAAAATAAAGAAAGATAACCTGTTATTGTTCGACAATCATTTTTTTAAAATTATTTACTAATTTTTTTTAAATTTAAATAAAGACTAATTATGTAATAATAACTATTAATATATGAAAAGTAAAGCTTAACTGGATTTTTTTAAATTTTTAATTGTTTAAATTAATTTGAACAATTATTTAAATCTCCTAAAAAAATTGTATCTTTAATTACAATGACTTCACTATTTTCATTGATTATAATGTTGAATCAAATATTGATTATGTTAATAATTTAATATGAAACAAATAATAATTTAACTTCATAAATGATAATTTAAATTTAAATAAAAAATACTCAAAAAAATCATATTCACCTTAAAAAATATATATAATGCGAGTTGTTGACCACTGGCGAATTTATCCACCTCGAACTCTAATGCTCAATTTTTTTTTTCTTTGGAGTATTTTTTTAAATAGCTCATCGACAAGGTCTATTTTATGGATTATACTTTTTATAAAAAAAATATTTAATAATATTTCTCTGTAAAAAATAAAAACATATTTTTAGATGTATTGATTATTAATTTTATGTTCTTATTTATTATAAGATTAGTATTAATTAAAAAAAATCGCTCATTACTCATATAAATATGTAAATATATTTTTTTATTTTATACATAATTGATTATTTGACTATTTATATTACAAATAATTTTAACATATAATATAAAATAACATAATAATTATTTTTTTCTTGATTTTAATGAATTATTTATTTATTATTATTAAAAAAAAAACTAAAAATACGTAGCTTCGTTTTCTGCTTCTTTCGTCTCTCTCGTCACAAACCGACAGGTACATATTTTATATTATCAATTATTAAACACGTGTTGAAGCCTCAATTATTGAAAATAAAACAAATTTTTTTATAGATAATAAATATATTATTTTTTATGAGAGATAAGTCTATTTACAATTTAATTAAAATATACTAATAAAAAATTATCACATCTTAACATTTATTGATTTTTGTAATAATTACCTTAAAGTTATATCTATAAAAAAAAATTTACACTGACATTGTATCAATATTAATTTTTATATAAATCAAGAATATTATATATATATATATATATATATATATATAATTGAAATTTGTGACATTATTTAAAGGAAGTCAAAGTTATATCACTTAAATTAACTACCTATATATTAATAAATAATAAATTATTTTTTCTTTAAATCTCTTCCTAAAACAACTGCAAATGATATGCAAATATTGAGTCCAGTGGAAAATATTGCATGATAGTCATGTTAATAAAGCAACCAAAGGTGTCGGATTAGGTTGTTTACATCTTTTTCAAATAACTTAATATTTAACCATAATGTTTAGCAATAATATGTTTCCTGTTGCTTGGATAAGCATGCCCGATTTGACTTTCAACTGAGTAGTGTTATTAGAGAAAGTTCTATTACTAACAATTGATACACAAAAATATACAGTTGTTTTGGTATAACTATTTTTTTAAGAACTGTGCAGTGTTATCTTAGTTTTTTTTCTTCATATTTAACGTGCTATTCAGTTGCTTCATTTGTAACTCTTATCTCCATTAATAGTGTTCAAATAACATTTTATTTATTTTTATCACATTTGTTATAACTTATGACACGAATAAGATCACTGCTCCTGTCAAGATAAATACATGAGGCAACGACTTCGATTAGTATGATTGGGTGTATTAATAAGAAGTGTTTATGTCAATCCCTTGAAAGAAAAGGAATAGTAATCCACCTGCTCACTAGAAAACATAACATTATAGCCTTCGTTTTCTATTAGTTGAAGCCATCATGTTATCGCACATATTACTTTCAGTAAATATTTCTTAATTAATCACGTTGAGAAGAAGTCAATTGGTTCAACCTGTTGAAATTTTTTGTTTTTAATTTAAAGGATTTTAAAAATTAATTACCTTGACAATTATAGCACCTTTTAGGTTAACATAACTGAACAATGCATTGTTTTCAGGCTTCAGAATCCAATACTACGATAAAAAAATATTATAAAATTTGTAGTATAGTCTATATTTAAATTTAATTTAAGAGGGTAAGAAATTAACTTGATCAACTCGAATAATTAACCTTTTACAACTACACCATCCAAGCAACTTTGACATTGGTGTAGTTGAGAATCCTAACTACCGGGTCCCTCTCCCATTATTGGGAATCCTTTTGCGTCACTTTAAACATATATCTGTTTGATATTACTCACAGCTATCAAAGTGGGTCGGAAAACAAAAAACAACTGCTAGATACTGAAAGAAAACACTGAATTTCCTGATAATTTCTTCTTATTGTTATTTAACTGTAACGTAAAATTATTGGACCATTTTAAAACTTTGGGAGGTGAGCTTATATATTTAAATCGTCATCACAATATGTATAAGAAAACATGCAGGTAAATTTTTTGGTGAGTAAATGATTGGCTTACATAGCACTTAATTTGTGAACGTCCATAATCAATATAATTTTATTATTTATTTTTTTTGGTTTTGCATCGGATGACGTGAATTTTTTGTTTTCAATTCCTGTGAACAAATTTTTTATTTTAGTTCCTATATTACAAATTTTTATATTTTTCTTTTTCGTTGATGTAGTTCAACAAAAAATAATATGTGGTGACATATTTGTAGACCACGTTCACAATAGAGATAGGATACAAAATTTCTGAAAATATAAGAATTAAAATAAAATAAAATATGTTCAGAGGACTCAATAAAAAATACTGAAATGTAAAGAAAAAATTGAAAAAAAAAAACAGAAACTCATAACCATGAACATTGTATACAAAAGAACACACAAAATGGGAGTAAATGTTGTAAAACTAGGACTAGCTAATATAGTACTAAATTCCTGTCACGTTACACAAATTAACCTTAAACTAGGAAATCCTGTTGAACAAAGGGTCCTCTAGCAAGAGCTCAGACCAAATAGCAGAATTAATGCAATTATCTTCCATACTAGTTAATGAAACCTGTGTCACAGGTGGAACAGCATGGGAGGGAGAAGGGGTAGTGCTTGAGCATGAAAGAAGCCATGGAGAATTGGGATAACTTTCTCCTTGACAAAATGCAGTAGTGGATTCGTTAGGGGCTTGGAACATTTCCTTGCTTAATGGTGCTTCATATGAACAACAAGGGGGTGTTTCCAAGCTTGGCATGTGAGAGAAAGGGATGGAATCATTGACCAAATGGAGATTGCTACCAATTCCAGTAGATAATGGCATGGTGTTTTCAAAATGATCTTTTGAAAGGTTATTGGTGTTAGGCTCAAACTCAGTTGAAGCTTGTGGCTGAAAGAGGTGTTGCTGTTGGAAGCATTGGAGCCCGGTCAATTGGATGGTCTCCGCTTGTAGCCTTGCAACGTTTTGTTCCCATGAATAATGATGATGATGGTCTAAGAATTCTTTCAGATTTGCCAGTGCTATGAGATGAGACAAGCCTGAGAAGATATCATCAGTTCGAGGTTGGTGTGTCATTGGATCATAACCCATTTGAATAAGCTTCTTTTTGAGATGGGTGTTCCAAAAATTCTTGATTTCATTATCTGTCCGACCTGGTAAGTGACTTGCAATTGTTGACCATCTAGCCAAAAGCAGAAAAAATTTACGTATATTATAAGCTTCAGAATAATCAAATTAATTAATACTTCATTTGCTCATACTGTATACGGAATAATTCCAAATTCCTGCACATAATGCAAAAAAAATGTTTCTTTTTGTAAGAGAAATGTTTTGAACAAAAAGTACAAGATACACTCACACTCATGCACACAGGTAAGAGAAATTACAATAAAATCTTCCATAAGAAGAGCCCTCAAAGGATACAACAATAATACGCATAAAAGGATAGTGGTGTTGAAAATTTACTTGTTTCCAAGGATGGCATGGAGATTCAGAATTGTTTGTTCTTCTTCTTGAGAAAACTTCCCTCTCTTAATGTCAGGCCTCAAGTAGTTCGTCCACCTTAACCTGCAACTTTTGCCACACCTGTTGAGTCCTGTTATCAAATATACAAATGATCACTCCCATTAATTACGGTTTAAAGTCTAATAGATCAAAGAGACCAAAACTAATTATGAGTTTTTCTGACGTATATTACAAACATATATATCTATAATTTTATATAGTAGTTACCTGCTAGTTTTGGAAGAGCCCTCCAGCTTGCATGACCATATTTTTGAATGTGGTTAACAAGCTTCTCATCTTCTTCAGGTGTCCAAGGACCTTTCTTCAAACCAATCTCATCACAGCATGGAGATCTTCCCATTTCTATTTATGGTATCCTACTTCTTGTGTCTTTCTTCTTTTTCTTCTTTCTCTCTCTCTCTCTCTTTACAAAGAAGGAAGCTGAGTCACTTCGTTATCAAATTCAACATGGGACTGGATGGAGATGGATGCTTCCTACACATCCAACCTAAAGTGGCAGCTATCTATTTATAAGGCGAATATCTGTTGTACGTGGCCCACACAACAAGGTTTAATAGAAGTTGAAACTGACGTGTTAGCTAAAACAAACATACATTTTTCTTATATACGCAAAATGACAAACTTTTGTCAACCCAACAATGGTTGGTTACTGTAAAATTAAATTATAACTCTAAATAATCTTTACATGTTATTTGGTGTGAAATAAATAAATATAAGCAAGAGTTGTACTAGTTCACGTGCTTAAGGCATTTTGATATAGTTGCAATTTTAAGTTCAAATTCTTCTATAAGACTAATCATTCTCTCTCTCTATTATCAATATTATGAACTTGAATTAGATCTGTTCCTAAAAATCAACATGATATCCACAGCCTAGTTTTAATCTAAATTAAAAATAATGGCTCAAGTCTTCAGTAAAAAAAAGCACTACAGAAAATGAAGAGAAATAAATATGGACTTGGTGAGGAAGACCCAGTAAACCTAATAAAAAATTGAAAAGAAAGGGAAAAAATTAAAGGATTCAAGGAAGAAGACACAGACATAAAGGACTCCAAAAGAAAAGGCACAAATCCAAGTTAAAGATTGAAGACAAGTCACAACTATACCAGTTAACCTGAAAGGAAATATAAAAAATAAAAGCAGTTTATACTGAATGGAAATGTGAGAAGTAAAGGGAATATAAATAAGGGAAATATAAGTCCAGTTGCCTAAAACATTTTGGAGATATATAGATGCAATCTCAAAACAATCCCTCAACAAGAACAATCACTCTTTCTATATTATGAACTTGGATCCAGCTTGTTTGTAAAAATCAACAGTAAAAAACTTTACTTAACTGTTAGGATTTGTTTGTGTTACTTTAAATAACCCAATTCTAGGTAGATTAATGGGATTTTATTTATAAAAAGGTAAATAAAAATTAATACATATCTTATCTTAATTAGTTCCCCTTAAGATTTGCGCCATGAAATTACCATTCTTGACCCAAGAATTAGTCTTACAACTATAATGCGAGGTACCCGGTTCAACACCAGAAATATAAATCTTTGTCAAAGTTGAAAATATAGAAGGTTGAGGGAAACAGATCGATCAATATGATATGATATTACACTTAGCTACTCTATTTTCAACCATGTGAGATGTTGGCGATCAAAATCATGTAGCAACAAGAAAACGAACTGATAGTGATGTCACGTACAAAAATGTTGATGATTTTGCCATAAGAAAAGAAAAAAGAGGGATTATATATGACCATCCGTGGAGCTAGTTAGACGAGAAGTTGGTGCGTCAAACTCTCTAAATTTCTAACCCTCTCTACAACTCTCTTTCCCTTCATATACGTTGCAAGCCATTAATGGGTTCTTTAATGCATGCCGTCGTCGTTTCTTCTTTGTACCTTGCATTCATACGAGGCAGAACTGCTACTTTCTCGTTTGTTCCTACAGAAATGCACCACAGTGTGATTTTGTTATAGAACATTATTTAAAATATAAATAAATAATAATAATAATAATTAAATTATATATATATATATATATATATATATATATATATATATAACTTGTTGGTCCAGATGAAAATTAGTCGAGATTCTACATACACTATCTAAGTTGGTCCAGACTATTTGTTCTCAATAAAATAAAATTTGGAATTCATTTTCTTATATGTATATCGTAGAGGAGTAAGAATAATGTTTTAGATTTGGTAAACTTTTACAAAACTACGTGGAGAAGAAAAAAAAAATAAAGACAAATTATACATAAAATTATTTTTATAAATTAAAATTAATTTGTATTTTATATTTTAAAGAAGTCAATAAAAAAATTTTAAAAGTAGTTTTGCAAAAACTATTTCAGACCAATGTATAAGGATAATGTTAAGTGGAAAATTCTAAATAGCTAAAAAGGAAAAAGAAAGTTTAGGTAGATTTATGCATACAACTTTTGACGAGATCGTGTACAAGTTTGAAAATAAAGTTACGGGGTAGAGACCTATTCATCAGAAAGATAATTTAGTTTTTACAATGATTATGCATCGTTTCTAAATTATCATATATATAATAATTTGACTTTTAGGTGATCTTTATTGATTTTTGTCTTCACGAAGAATGTAACAATAAAGATTCGATTTCGTCTCACCTATCTATATATACCTATCTACATATATACACATACAGACAAATTTTACAATAAGATTGAACAACCTACCCAATATATAATTAACGTGAAATTTTATGAACATATGAACTTGTAATTCAACATGAGTTGTTTACCTTACAAAAATTTATTTAATAATTAATTTTAGTACATAAACCTTAATCCTATATATGTGTCAAGTTAATTATTACGTGGACAAAATTTAGCTGTCATTTCTTACTTTTTTAATATATTTTTTTAAATTAAAATTTTATTTAATAATTTGTGATGACGTACTCACTTTTTATAGAAATAAAAATTTAATTTTAATTAAAAACACAAGATAAAAAATACTTAAAAATTATACCTAAATTTTGTCCATATCATATATTGTTAATCACAGTGGATAATGTACTATGTCCAAAAATCAAAGCATTTCTTTTATGTAACAATAAAATGAAAAGAATACATCTAACATGTGTACAAAAAAATTATATTTTCATATAATTGATATAATTGATATATATATATATATATATATATATATATATATATATATATCATCTCTTTAATGAGTTTCACAACTTATGTATTAATTTAGAGATATATTGTACGAATACGCATAATAATTTATGTGTTCCGAATCTATGATTTAACTCTTTTAAAATGCAGGGTGAACTTTAATGAATAAAGTATAGAATAATAATGATTGATTATAAAATTGTTAATTATAAAATTAATAGATAAGTTTTAACAATTTTATAATTTACATATACATGCATTTTAACTTTTACATTACCAAATTTTAATTTTTAAATAATGATTATTTTACTTTATTATTAATTTAAAGTGTATTTTCATTTCAGTGGTTTCAAATCAAAGAGTTTAAGACTCTCTATATCTGCCACCACAAGCTGTTACACATAATTTTTTGTTACATGTTAATTTCAAATGTAATTTTTTTTTATTGAATGTGTATGGAAATTATGAATTTCGTTAAAATTCTATTTTAGTCTTATATAAGATCAAACTTTTTAACTTTTAAGTCATACATACCAAGCTTTTTTAACTATTGATCGTTATCATGTATGTCAAATAGACCCTAAATGGTATGATAACAAATCATGAATTTTCTTTTTACATTCTAGAGAACTCAAGTTCTAAAACAGTCATCACCTCTTAGTCTTACGCTGGTTGTAATAATGACTGTATAAGTTCTTGTAAGAGAAAGTATATATTACTTTAGATTAAAAATAATACTGTGTTAATTAGTTAGCTTATATAATTTACTTAGCAAATGTGGAGTAAAGTTTTGTCTATGTCTGCGGAAGACAAGGGAGGGAGATGAATTGCTATTGCGTTGCGTTCAAAGGCGGAGATTAATTGCTTGTTCAACTCAATTTCGCTGTCGGGTAGACCAGCTTCTCAATCTCGACCATATAAAAAAGGAAGCAGGTTTAACCTATAGGCTATTATACAACGTTATTGATGTCACCATAAACAGTGACAGTGTGATTTTCCTCATTAGAAGTAATGAAACTTGTAATGTCAGCTAAACAACTGAATTGCTTGCTTTCTTAAGTTTCTACCCGTTACATCTAAACTCGGACTTTGCATGCTTCTTCATGCCACGTATTACGTATATATGAATTTGTTCTTTTCCATTTTTGTTAACAGGAATGACAATAAAAACAAAGTTGACCATGAGGTGTGGAATGAAATCTTCTATTCTATTTTTCTATCTTAATTTTTTTCTTTAATTAGGTATTAATAACTTAAGCAAACCAAAATAAAAACAAAGCATCAATTTCCCAAGAAAATACTGTTTTACATTTTATTATTAACGTGAGGCAGGTTAAGTTAATCTATCCCTATATTATAAATTTAAATTTGTATCATTAAAAAAATTAGATATGCACTCACTCTCGCCCAATTAATATTTTTCTTATTTTTAACATGTCCTTTGAACTTTCACATTGTGTATATAAGTGGCTTTAATTTGATTTAACATGCCTTTGAACTTTCACATTGTGTTTATAAGTGGCTTTAATTTGATTTAACATGCCCTCTATTTATAATGGCATGAGTCTTGTGAATGATAGGAAGCTGATGAAAGTTTGGATATCTACTTGGTGGCGGTGATATGGAGTTTATTTACGACGTAATGTTCAATGGCCAAACCATTAGCTTTATGCAAATTAAACTTAACACTACCTAATTTTATTTTCTTTTTCTTTTAAATAGTTGTTTGAAGGATAAAATAATATAATTACTTATTAAATATAATTTTATAAAATGATTAATACATATTTATTTGTTAAAGTTGACTTTAAAGAGTTGAATATTTGTTCTTTAAACTTAAAAGTTATTTCTAAAGAAATCATAACACAGCTTAAATTTTTTTAAAATTTTAAAATAAATACTACTCAACTTATAGTAATGTGAATTTCTTTTTCTTTATGTTAACAAAATTTATTTCTTTCAAATCGTTAGTATTTTTTACATTTTTCTCTTTTTTTATTAAAATTAAAAATTTTATTTTATCTTTTTTTATTATTATTTAGACATAAACTATTTAATTAATATGATATACAAACTTAAATTTTAATGAGACAAATAATTAACTTTAGTTTGTGAAAAAAGAAATAAAAAAAATTAATTTTAGATATATAAACTTAGGAGATGTATTAGTTTAAGATTTCATA